CGAGCAAGAGCGAGCGAGGAATGTGGTTCCCAGGAGGATAAATGAGAGTTGTCATTAGGTTTTTCCTGTAGGTTCGAGGGGCATGAAACTTTTAGTGTTAAGGTGAGACGGACTCCTTCACCTCCCATTTTTTTACGCCGCGCCGCCACTAGTCCTCCCCTTTTCTCTTGTAAATAGATTCTCATTTGTTTTCTTGCCATCTGACACCGCGGTAAAAGTAAGGAAGCCTCTACTTTAGCGTTTATACTTATTTCGTTACTTATTTTCTATTTGTATTATATTTATTTTATTTATTTATTTATTTATTATGTTTGATCTTAATTCTATATTTTGATAATTCGTTTATCATTATTATTTTTGGGGATGGCATTTCATTTATTTTAGTAGATATATATTGTACTGTTAATATTTTTGGAACGCGAGAGCGCACCAAAATTTCCGAATTACTCGACGCGTTCAAAAGCCATCTGTAACAAATGAACCGAAAAGCCTAATGATTTCTTAACCAAAACCGACCCGACGGTGGTGTGAACACCCCATGTCACGGCCCTGGAGGGGTGGGGAGAGATGAAAAGGATGGTGGGGGAGGATGGGAGGAAGAATGGAGAGGATGGGAAGAATAGTGGGGTGGAGGTGAAGGATGGTAGGGGAAAATGGAAAGGATGGTAGGGGAAAATGGGAAGGATGGTAGGGGAAAATGGGAAGGATGGTAGGGGAAAATGGGAAGGATGGTAGGGGAAATGGGAAGGATGGTAGGGGAAAATGGAAAGGATGGTAGGGGAAAATGGGAAGGATGGTAGGGGAAAATGGGAAGGATGGTAGGGGAAAATGGGAAGGATGGTAGGGGAAATGGGAAGGATGGTAGGGGAAAATGGCGACTAAGTGATGTCGGGGAGGGCGTGGGAGATAGTCCATAGTATAATGTTATCTATCTGTACCAGAAAACTGAACCATCCAGCTGCCGCTCCTCTCCCGTCACTCGTGCACCTGACACCCCCACTTACCCATTTCAGAAACATTACCATACTGTATCATTTGACACACCTTGTGGGATGTTGACACACCTTGTGGGATGTTGACACACCTTGTGGGATGTTGACAGACCCTGTGGGATGTTGGCACACCTTGTGGGATGTTGACACACCTTGTGGGATGTTGACAGACCCTGTGGGATGTTGGCACACCTTGTGGGATGTTGACACACCTTGTGGGATGTTGACAGACCCTGTGGGATGTTGACAGACCCTGTGGGATGTTGACACACCTTGTGGGATGTTGACACGCCTTGTGGGATGTTGACACACCTTGTGGGATGTTGGCACACCTTGTGGGATGTTGGCACACCTTGTGGGATGTTGACAGACCTTGAGTGGTGTGGGGGCGGGGGAGGAGGAGGAGGAGGAGGTGAGCCCAGCAATGGTCAGTGTCGGGACACAACACAACACCCGCCTCACATTCCCGCGCCCCACATACTTGTCTCCTTTATTTCTCATCAACACACACCACTGCCCAGGACACACCCACGGCACCTCTACATCACCACCACCATTGTTTGAAATACCGAATCATCCTTTGTTAGTTTTATGTAGACTCTAGAGGCGAGCAGTTAAGTGAGAAGTAATTTTAGGACGATGTAAGTGAGGGTACCTTAGAGCCCGTATGGAGTCGGCGGTCAAGCTCTTGTTATTTTCACGGGGGGACAACAGAGCCTTGTATACACCCCTCAGCATCACGCTACTTACACAACAATCCCCACCGGTCTAAATACTCATGACGCCCCTCCACGGGATAACGAGCCTTACCAGAGAGACGAATAAGGTCACTTTTACATCACCAGGTAAGATGTTAATAGCCTCATTTGAATGGTAACTTCACGATGCCTTAAGGTCAGTGTCTTGGTGACTAAGATGGTGGCCACTGTCACGGGGAGTGGACACAGGCCATCACAACTCCGGGTATTGTGTGTCGTGAGAGAGCGTCTGGTGGGTGGTGTACGGTGAACATGTAGCCCGGATGATTCTCTCATAGATTTTGATTTTATAGTTTGAGAGAACATTATAGATACAAGTAGAGAGATTTTCAGAATAACAATACACAAACACTTACCCAGGGTTACTGTACGTCACTCCCAAGATGGATTTTATATTTTAATGTAATATTTTTTTTCAATATTTATCCTGCGGGTGTGTACTAAATTTAAGGAGTTACTTTCTGACCGACATTGTAGTCTGTGTCGGTTACAGTAAAAAATTATGCTTTTTTTTATATTAATTTACTTATTCGTTAAATGAAACGTATCGCGGTTGTCACTACATCTATCTTATCTCCCAGTTTCATACTTGTGGAAGCATCTATCCTGACTTAGTAATTAGGTCTTTTCCTTTACCCTCCCTCACCTCCTGGCCCTCTTTCGTCTCCCTATAATCCCCCTTGATTCTCTCCCTTTTCCTTTCCCTGCCGGTATCTTTGACCTACATGTCCCTCCCCGACCCTCCCTTACCCCCCCCTGTCCCTCCCTGACCATTCCAGACCTGCCCGACACACACACTGATCCCTGACTGACCCCAAACAGCCCCCCGAGATCTTATTCCCCTCCCTACCCCTGCTGACCTTCTGGTTCTGCTTTTCTTCCTGGTTTTTCTGGTTCTTTCTGACTCCTGCCTGACTTTGGGATCTTCCTGATTCTCCTGACCCTACATGACTCCTTCCTTATTTTGCTTACCCTTCCTTATCTCCTCCTGACCCCCTCTGGGCCTTCCTTAAACTTCTCTGGTCCATTGGTAAACTTTCTGACTTTTCTTGGCCCACCTGACCCTCTATGGCCCTTTCCTGACCCTGCCTGGCCCCCTCCTAACCTCCTCTGGTATCTTCTTGACTTTCCTGACCCTCTGGTCCATTACTCAATAAACTATTGAGCATTCCAGGGAAGGTATTGACGGGAGTGGTGGCAGTATATCAAGGCGTGGCTCAGCTGCCACCCGTGGGAAAGTTCCTGGCGTTGGTGGTGTGGTACTCGTATAAGTCACCCTCAGAGTACAGTACAGTACTGTACTTGTCTTGTGTTACCAGCGGGAGTCAGTCTTAACCAGGAAGTGTATACTACTTCTCGCACTTGTTCTCAGCCGCGTTGCCGGGGGGCACCTGGAGATGGTGTCTGTTCGTCCTTGGTTGCGTCTGTGTGTTAGAGCTGTGAACGCGACAACTAAGAACGAGCTGAACAAGATTTTTGATCAGGAGTATAAAGGAACCTTATTTGTACCCTTCGGATGGGTTTAGTATTTTCTCGTTCAGGTTTCTTGGGGTTGTGTCCACTGTGCGTCTGGCTTTATGAAGAAGATAATTTTAACATACACAGGAAACAAAGCTTTTAATGAAATTGTGTGTGATTATAACCCATATTCTGACGAGTTGTGTCCCACTTGCGACAGGGTGTTTGGCAAGACGAGGCATCTTGTGTTCTCGAGATACCAGTCACATTGACCAGAACCGAATCAAGTTGATCCTTTGCTCATTAATCACATTCTTATTATTATTATTATTATTATGATTATTATTATTATTATTATTATTATTATTATTATTCAGAAACAGCACATGACAATATTGTAAACTAGCAGTAGTGTTTAATCATCGGATAAAATAAGTGGAGGTTCCTAATCTTCATGAGATCCGGAGGTTAAGTCTCGGTAGGCAGAGTTAAGACTTCAAGGTAAAAGCCTAGACATCGCTGGTCGCGTTGCTAATGCGGTGTGAAGCGAGTGTAAAGCTTGTAATGGCGCTCTTGGGCTTTCCTTGATCATACTAAATTATTACCTTGTTCCACATTCTCATTAATGCCGCCAAGTATGACCATCCGTCGGACAGATAATCTTGTTCTTACAAATAACGTTATTAAACATTTGTTCTACATTACCGACGAAATGTTTACATGAAATAAAGAAAAGAACAAATCTTCATTAACTCTATAAGGAGATATGAAATGGAATAAGCACTAGTCAAATAAAACGTGGCTCGTACTGAATACTTAAGTTAGTGGTAAATTTTCGGCACAAGTGTAATCGTTTTCTATAAATAAGAGAGAGAACGCTTTTGGAAGTGCGTATAAGATAAACCATTAAAAAACATATTTAAATTATGCTGATTTCTCGCACAAATGCCTGATGTTTCACCTTCTTCTAATACTACTTTGGTAGGTTCGTAAGGAGGAAAAGAGAGCTGGAGGCAGACAGACAGAGTTAACTGGGGGAGGAGGGGGGGGGGGCAGGAAGGGGAGGTTGGCCACACTAGGAAGTAACAGTTTACATTCTAGAGGCGATACGAGGCTCCATAATTTAAGCCTTCTCTTGCTGGGTGTTTGTTGTTTGTGATGGTTCATATTACAATTCCTATTCTTGTTGTGGCTTCACGTTTCTTTTTATATGTTTTGCCCTGATGTAAGGATAGATTACAATTATTACTAACCTAGCTGCAGGATAGAGCAAAAGGTTCCATTGGTGAATCCGCCCGACGGTAATATTGAGTGGAATCATTTGCAGTTGGTCAGTGGATTGATTACCGTCCAATTGAACTTTTTTTTCCGGCTCCTCACTCAAATACTGGTATGACGTTTTGTGGAATTTATGTCTTATTGTTTTCAGTGGATTGGGTAGTTGTTGCTTGAAAATTTGAACGTGTGTGTGTGGCTTTATCGTGAGGATACTGTTTATTTTTCATGCTTTTTTTGTTATCATCTCCGGCCTCCTCTCTCCACCTTTCTCCTTCCTCCCCTCCTCTCCATTTCTACCCCTATCCCCGCTTCCCCCCTCTCCTCCTCCTCATACGCGACACCCAGCATTATAACTCGCCCATGAGAGCTCCTCAGCTTGTACCATCTAATAACTCGACCCTATAACTGGAGGAGAGGAAAGTGACTTATGGATCATCCTGTCATAATTATTTAAAAAAACGCCTTCCAACTTTTGTAAGATATAGGTCAAGGCTTTATTCAGTATAGGTCGAGATAAGGGGTGAACTTTATTACATCATTGCATATACAGAATACAACGAATCATACATGCAAAGCGAAATACTTTTTTTTTATTGTAAGTATAGCTATTATGTGCGTCTGTCTTGTTTACCTGATGGCTGTAAATTGTTTAGAAATACTAGAATACATCTATTAGCTATGGGAGGTTCAAGACAAGTGTGGAAAGTGTAGAGACAGATCAAGGGGAACAAACAACAATGTTCAGAATAGTTTACATCTTTACGTCAAGTTGTCAGGTCCTCAGATATAATAAACAGATGTGTGTAATGTTGACAGTTTTCCTATGAGATGATAACAGTATTTAATTTTATAATGGTCCAACTTCAGATTATTTCCCTATTTATGGTTGAGTCTCGACTTCATTTAGAAAGGTTATGTCTTAAATATGTCGCGTCCTCAGTCTTATTGTGCTGAATTTTGTCATAAATTAACCGAATTTTAGATTAATTGTTTATGTAAGATAATTTGTGTTTCACTTAAATTCTGAGGTTCGTCTTGCGTTCTACCTCTAAATCATCTAAGCAAGTGTGTTACCCGAGGTTTCAGACTGAGCCGACATCTTGTTTTGAGTCATCTAAGCAGTGTTAAGAGTTGACTCAAGATAGGATTTAGTTGGATCCTGTTTTTTGACTCCGCTAAACATTATTTTGAGTTGTCCAAGTCCTGTCTTCAAGGCAGCTAAGTCATGTGTGGAGTTAGCTTTAAGTTAAGAGTGGTCTTGGTTTAAGCTAGAATAGCTAGACTGTATCTGACAAGAATAAGTCACTAAGGCATTATAGCTTCCATGTGCCCGACATAGGGTTGGTATGGCCTTCTTCAGTAGAACCTCCAGTAGGCAGGTTGACCTCGGCACTGTTGGGGAGGTTCTCCTGGGAGGACTTGCGCCCGTTGAGGATGATGGGTAATCTGCCGCGGGTGTAGTAGCGTGTAATACCTCCCTTGGTTTTCAAGTTGAAGACGACGCCAAGACCCACGGCCACCACGAGCACCAGCAGTGTAGTCAACACCCAGGTGGAGGTGGTGTTGACCCGAAGCTTCACCGGGTGGGTCGGGTTGATGATCAGGAAGAGCTGGTGGTGTAGGCGAAAGACAATTAGATCAGGAGACGCTGTCATTTGTGACTCACACATTCTCCAGTCACACACATAATTGTCTCCATCGAACAGTCTCTTCAGTCATTCCTGTGGCTTATGACCAGATCTTAGCGACTCTTAACTGGTGACATTCATATATTATGTGGTGCGGTCTGCCGCCTACTCGTGCTGTTACACACCTTTACCAACCTGCCGTCCATCATATGTATGTGGGAGATGAGAAAAGTATTGGTTTGGAACAGATGTTCGGGAATACCGGCGGTAAAATAATAAATATGACTTTACTCCTTCGATGTCACAACATGGAAATAAAAATATTCTCTGAGTGTCTGACTGTCAGTGAGTGAGTCAATTATATAATCGCTGGCTGACAGGCACAGCTCACTATTTTAAGTCATATGAGCAACTTACACAGTGAACCACATAACTGACGGTACAGCTAAAGAGGAACACTGCCTGTGTATGACAGACAAGGGTCGAGGGAGAAGTGAGGAAAAACTTACAAAGAAACTGGTGTTTGAGGTCTAACGCCTAAGACAGTTTTCTGTATTACGAAAAAATGAACAAAAAAGATTACCAATGATAACCTAACTTCAGGGCGTGTGGGAGTTACCTGTGGGTTACCGCAGGTGTTGTGGAAGAGCGTGAAGGACTCGTTGATCGCTGCGTCCTGGGCAGAAGAAACGTGTATGGTGTTCCTTTCTAGGGATGTCCTGTTGTGGCACATGAGACCCTCTAGGGCGTCCGGCTCCCAGGACTCAATCACGTTCTCATCAAACTTGACGTCACCCGTCACCTTCACCTGTAGGCAGCACACTAGCTTGAGCTTCCCGTTAGGATTGAAATAATCAATATATCGCGCCAAGACTTACGGTATTCAGACTCAACTCACCAGATACATAAGATATCCTCAGCACAGAATTACGGTATAAAGACAGAATACCACTAACTCAAATTTAAGTTTAATATTAGAGTAGGAAGGTTTAGAGTAGGGAGGGTTGGTCCTAGAGCATCAACCACTCGGTCACCTTAAAGGCTTCTTTTTCGAGTTTCTGGACGTAGTTTCCCGTGATGTTCACTTCGATGTCCCCGACCACGGTGAAGGCCTCCGTCCCCACCGTCCCCAGGCGGCAGTTGGTCACATTCAGCGATTCCATGTCCGACTGTCATGAAGAGACAGGTAGTTAGAACTGTCCTTGTTTTAAAGGTCCATATCAGTAGTTCATATTTGACTAAGACACCTTCAATCCTGTTTGTGTAAAGGAGAGGTGTTTATAGAATGTTTAAGGAACCCCCAGTAAATTAATGATGGCACAACGTTGAAATTTAAGTCCAGTGGAGACACACACACACACACACACACACACTGCCAAAAACGGTACCTTGAAACTTCTGAACCCTGGACTGTTCAGTTCGAACATGTGTGATTCTTCAGTAGTTTGTCTCATCGGTTTACAACACAATATTCCCAACTTATGACTTGTCACTGCAGTCTAAAACTCGTCATATATTATTAATAAAAACAAAAGACATGGGACTCTCTCTCTCTCGTTACGTGATGAGTGAGGTTGAAAGCTCCAGCGCCGATGTTCTGGAAGGTCACGTTGGACAAGCTCACGCCGCTCCACGTGTGTACTTGTCGCTTGCTGAGAATGACGTAGCCCTCACTGGCCACCGACCCTTCCACCGACTTTACCACCGAGTCCTCCATCACCAGGTACCGCATCTGGAGGAAAACACCTGTTAACTGTTACTACGACCACCTCCACTTGACCCCTCCACCGCCTCCACTATGTTGTCCGAGGACCCTGTGTGCCTACAAGAATGTGTCGTACCAACTGATAAGCTCCACCCAGTCTGTTCAACGTGTATACTATGATCCCTGTTCTACCCATATATGTCTAATGTATGTAAAAATTTAATTATCACATGTACCTCTTGTACTCGAAAAGACTACCAACTTACAATGTCGTGCAGTCACTATCCCTCTCGGCAACCCAACACTCGACGCGCTAAACGCCTACTGTATGCTCCTTCAGATCAGTTTCATTATACAGTAATATATAGACCCTCGTGATCATGTACAGTACCTAAAACAACTATCTGTGCAGGTGGGGGGTCGATATGCACATAGTTGTTTTAGCTACTGTACATTCTGATCCTATCGTCCCAGTAGGAGACCTCACTACCAACACCAATGGTAGGAGACCACTATTAGAATAAAATTTATTCCCCATAAAAAAATGGTGCTCAAATCAAAGGCAGTAGTGACACATATGAGATATATATATATATATATATATATATATATATATATATATATATATATATATATATATATATATATATATATATATATATATATATATCGGGGAAAATGTTTTTGTTTTATTCAAGACAACTTCAGAGGCAACTGCCTCTGAAGATGTCTTGAATAAAGACGAAAGCTAAGGTACCTGTTGTTTCCATTTTCCCGTGTGAATTTATCAAGATTTATCTTATCCACGTTTTCATTGTGGATTTACATGAAATATAATATATATATATATATATATATATATATATATATATATATATATATATATATATATATATATATATATATATATATATATATATATATATATATATATAGCGCCAATATCAACCCTCCTGATGCGTTCCTCCTCCTCCTCCCGAGTGACCTGGTCATTCCGCCTACCGACTGACCTCCTTGATGTTGTGCAGGAAGCCCGTGCGGAAGGTGCCCACACTGCTGGTCTTGATCCTGAAGCCGGCCCTTGTCCGGTCCCGCAGGAACTTGGGGGGGATCTCCGGGATGTAACAGCTGACGATGCCGATCCCTGAAATGGACGCGAGATGACGTCATATTCTGAAAATTCCTGATACGGGGTAACTGACAGCAGTCAGTCTATTCTCTACCTTGATGGACTGCATCAAGTGAACATGCATATGGAGCAAGTAACAATATTACAAGATGTAGACCAAGGTTCGGCTGCAACTCCCTCTGGCATTTTGCCCTTCGTGAAGATGTGAACAAAACTAAATGTAGTGTGTTAGGGTCAGACATATACGGCCACACTCCAACACTATGTCCTGGACTGAGATATTAGAACCTTTTATGGACAAGTCGAACTGTCGGTGGGGTGGCTCAACACTTATCTCAGATGGCAAGACAGCTGATATATTAAGACTATTCGTGCACATTTTGCACCTAGATACGAAGTTAATTCTTAGGTACAGAACTAACTTGAATGTACATCACGTACACGCGAACACCACACTCCTCTGGCTGTATACCCTATATATTAAGTCAATCTTCTATATATAAAACTAAACAAACAATGTACTAGAAATACTCTAAAATTCAAAGCCACAATTCCTGACCACTGGGGTCTCTTATACACGCACCCTTTGTGATCTTTTCTACGTAATCCTGTTTGCGCTACCGAGTGAAGTGGCCACCAAGAATATCATTCACCGAGCTTGTTAAAAGTGCTACTTGGTGACACGAGGCCCTAACCTGGTTCATCCGAGAAGTTTATTCAGACTCAAGATAACATCACTCAGAATGTGAGCAGCGCCGCGCCTGACCGTTATTAAAGAGGAACAAAATGCAGTACAGTAGATACAGACTCCAGCCCCTAGTGAACGGTTGTTTTTACCGGCGTCTTGTTCTTAATGATGTAATGCTACGATTTTTCTGGTGTTTCATAAAGAACTTTAATGGAGATGAGCTTTAATGGGTCTCCTGTGTTATCCTTAGAGGTATGTTTACCTTCAGCGTCTATACAGTACAGTACAGTACATGCTTAACCAACGCAAACTTGTATGAAGATTTTAGTATATGAATTGTTATAAACTGTTTGTATATCTCAATACGGTGGTCGTGTTGTGCATTGTACTGTTGTTAATGTTAACTTCTCGACCAGCTGCTACACATCCACTTCTCGGTCAGCTGCTGCACATCCACTTCTCGGTCAGCTGCTGCACATCCACACTCCTCCTCACATGCACATTGTACACATACTCCTCTTTGCTGAACAGGAGCGGGAAAACCTCGCCAATCAATGGTCTATTGGCCACACCCTCGCTCACCGTACTGGTCGTTATCAGTGGGCGGGAATTTATATCGTATACAGTAACTCCATCGTAATTAGTAATTACTATGAACGGTAAAGGATGACTGAAGGGATACAACATGTGACGATAAATTACAACATTCCCATGGTATGTGACAGGTGGTGAGGCATCGTGAAGGTCTTATATAAGGAGATATATGCCCTCCATTGGTTGGTAATGACTTGTTCTTCATGGTGTGTGTTCGTACAAGAGGAAACCCGAGTACCAGGAGAAAACCTTTAACATTTATAGGGTCACCTAACAACCCTTTAGGGTTAGACATCGCTCGTCTCTCATCTCCGGGTTGGACCCTAGGTGGTAGCGGTGAGACACAGACGCTCTGCCATCAACATCCAAGACGAAACTCTTACCCACAGAGACACGTTATCCAAACGATAAACACATAATGAACAATATGTCTCACCGGCGAAGGTCCTGAACGATGAGAACTTATCCAGGTTGTCGAGGGGAGGTGTGGATTCCAGCGTCAGGTTGCCACCCCGCCAAATGTCCAGAGCCGCTGAGGGCGCCTGCAGCCATTCCTTCAGAAACTCTTTCGTCACGTGGACGCTAGTGGCGTTCACCATCCTGACGTAGGCGCTCACCAGGCTCGCGTTACGGAATGGGAAGAGCTCCTTGTTGAGCACCACGTCCTGTAACACAAGAAGTTGAACTCGTTACTCCCGGGAATAAACAGTGGCAATAAAAACTTATTATAACACCTGGCGTTCCCGCTACCCCGTAGGGATAGCTGCTCCTGGAAACTACGCCAGACAAACGCTCGTCCAATGCCTGCCTGCAAGCGCGTTCTTTTTAATTTACCCTCAGGAATGTACCATAGAAAAGTCACCAACATAACCAGTTCATAACCGTCCATTTATACAGTCCCCAGCTGGACATTATCCCACCTTTAATATACAGTACTGGTCACCCCATCACCGAGTTACTCCTGCCTAAATAACCTGTTAGTACCCCACACACCCACCCACGCCCTCCAGCATAACCTACACACCCACTCACACCATCCAGCATCACCCACATACCCACCTCACAAATTCACTTCCTCCCCATCTTTTTTTTCCATCTTCCTCTTAAGGTTGACTTACACTGCCGTATACTATAAGACCAGAATGTAATCAAGATTGGTCCCTGTATTGGCATCATCAACAGTGACGGCACCACAAGGCCGGTCACTGACACATCACCTTTGATTCTCGTTGTGATGACCCTATCATCAACCAGGTCTTACCTCCATATTGTCGAAGTCACATTTGATGTTGACGGTGTTGCTTCTAGAGCGAGGAAGTTGCTTGAGGATGCACTTGCAGAACGCGTCTTGATTGTCGAGAGGCCCCCCCGAAGGACACTTAGCTACAATGGGATCGCACGATGCAGGCCGCAGCAAACCTGTCACCACCATCAGCAGCAGCAGGGTCGCGACGCCCCTCACACCCCCCCTACACTGTTGGTCCTGTCGGTTCCTCATGGTGTAGCGTCCACCAGTGAGAGGGGTGGAACACGGGAGGCAGCAGGTTCCTTTATGATGTTTACGCCTCGGATAGACTTGTAATTGTCCGCGTCAGAACAATGTTTGTTTCTTCAACATACTGTATCTGTCACTTAATCTGTGAACACATTTATCTTGTGAAATACTCTACAGATTATTTTTTCATGGGTGTGTTTGTATGTGTGACTTCAGCCAAGTCTGCCCCGACGTCTCTTCTCATATTTTTCTGACGTTATAGTGAAAACAGTTTCGGCTTTCCCTACTAGCCAAACTGCCATATGACAACAGAGGCAAAAGTGATCACAAACACGATAACGAAGAACATTCTCCCGTTTGTTGAAATAACTTTAAATAAAGATCTGAATGAACCGCGAGAGTCCGTCACTTCGTCCCCATTGTTTTCTTTGAGGGTAAGCTGAAGCAGGAATCGAGCGGAGACAATGAATGGTGAAAATTTGACTAGCGTCAGGCAGTAACTGCAGGGATCCTACACGGCTCTTCACCAACAGGATGTGTGAGAGAGCTGTCCCTGGGCGACTCCGGTACGCTTGTCCTTTACACAGCCTCGGTTGTCAGTACTCAATTATGGTCAACATGTTCACCAATACTCTAATTTCTTACTTGTTTTAAATCACAAAGTAATACTGTCAAAGAACCACGTTGAATGCTGATCATTTAGCATGATACTCATAATCCTCAGCATTACCCCAAACGGGTACACCAGTGTTGCCAGACTTGTACCTTCCCTTCGTAAGATGGAGGTGATCTCGGCTAAACATAGAAGAACCGCAGTAGATCATAACTGCCCCAGGAGAGTATCACACACACACACACACCGTCTACATGTACAGTCTCCTTCAAGATTCTTCGAACACTGCTGGAGACAGCTGGCAACTCAAGGCCACTTGTTTACTATAGTACGTAGTATAATATGATACAAAACAACAAAGCCCAACCATTAATTAAGCAACGGGGAACTAAGTAACCAATCACAGATAACCTCTTACATTCATTCATAATTTTTACTACGTACTATAGCAAACAAACGGCCTTGAGTTTCCAGCTGTCTCCAGTAGTGTTCGAAGAATATTGAACGAGACTGTACCTTGAGAAAAACAAAGTTTTTCTACAAATCCTCAATTACACTGATGCCTTGCGGCACCAGGAGCTAGTTATGGTGTGAATGCTTTGTACCACCTTGCTGCTCTGCAGACACGGAGTAACCCGGTGAGATGTTCACCATAACTATTACCGAACGGAGTTGTATACACGATGAACCAAAACCCAACAAACTCGCTATCATGAGTTTAACAAATGTCACTGCTGTAAAGGTCGGGGTCCCCGCCCTCTGTTTCCTAATAGACTAACCAAGCGTAACCTAACCATTAAAATGGGGTTTATTAGATCTGTTACTCATTAAAGGTTAGGAGTGTATATAGTCTGAGGCCCCATGACTGGTAAGAACAAGGGCCATTTCGGATGCGTACTCCCTTAATTCCCGGGGAGGGAAGCCGCCTATCTATAAATAGTAAACCTTGGCCTCCTCGAAGGACGATCGGCCACTGTGGAACTTACACTCAATTAACATTGGAGAGCATTTTATTACGCAGGAGGCGATGAAGGAGGATCGGGGGAGGTGAAGTCGTACAGAAGAACATTCGGGGATAATGGGGAGCTGAAAAGAGTATAGTAAGTTGAGACAGATTGATGAGGGCGCTATTTGGAAGGAGAGGACGAGTTGAAGGTTTTTAAAAAGGTTGACTAAGGCCCAGGAGGATAAACCAGATGAAGAGTGTAATCCACACACTTACTCTGAATGTTAATGCGCTTAAATGACGAACAACAACTGTGTGACGATTAAGAGGGAGAAATGAAATCATGAGAGGGAGAAGGGGTCCTGCCACTACTCTCCATCTCAAGACATGGCAACAAGTCTCTCTGTGGCGAGTCGTACGTACAGCGGAGTCTGACGAAGTAAATAGACAAACAATAGTTGTAGCAGTGACTTGACAACACTTCGTGACTGGAATCTCTTCTTTCTTTTTGTGATTACACACCAACATAACTCTTAATGAATAAGAGAGACAAACTGACACGTATTGACGATATTGGATTGAACATCCTACTCACCATGTACCGCTAACTATCAAGGTCAGTAGGTAAACAAATATGACCCACAAAGTGCCACTTCGCCAGGCACCTTTGTGGAAAAGTGGCACCTGCTTTTCGGGCGTCATTAGGCGATGACTGTAACTGTCTATCAGGAAGTGTAGTCAGTTAGTGTGCGTCAGCAAATAGAAGTCGGCTTGTGTATGCCAGCTCATTGTCATTAGCAATTAGGGGTCAGATAGTGTGTGTGTCATCAAATAGATGTCGGCAAACTGAGTGTCAGCGGGTAACGGTTGTTAGCATATAGAGGCGTCTGTCTATCGTCCTGACTAAGATAAGAGCCCCACCCCTTGCACTTCCTGTGACGCACGCGCGCGCTGACACACAGGCACACACAAAATTCTACTTGTACTTTTTAAGAAACAAGTATGCCCACCCCCCACAACTGTATCCAGCCTGTACCACCTCTCAGTAATAGCTACGAGAAGAACACATTCCAACCATTGTGAAAATCAACGATTCATCGATAACTTGTATGTCCACTTCTTGCCGCCTCCTCCTCCTGTAACTAAACTGAAACGCTTTTGTTAAACGAACATTTCGTTCATGTCAGTAGTGGGGAAATTTCTTGAATCAAATATAGCAGATAGCATCTAGAGAAAAGCAAATTAATCTACGACTCTCAACATGGGTTTACGAAGGGAAAATCTTGTCTAACAAATCTGCTGACGTTTTTAGGAAAGTCTTCGAGGTAGTAGATAATGACGAAAATTACGATGTTATTTACTTAGACTTTAGCATAGCATTTGACAGAGTACCGCATCAGAGGCTTCTGAGAAAAATTAAGGCTCATGGTATCGAGGGGAAAGTTTTAAATTGGATAAAATCATGGCTCACCGATAGAACGCAGAGGGTCAGCGTAGATGGTGTTAAATCTGAGTGGGGCCGTGTAACCAGTGGGGTTCCCCAGGGGTCAGTACTAGGCCCACTCTTGTTCATAATCTACATAAACGATCTAGATACTGGGATCAGCAGTGACATAAGCAAGTTTGCGGATGACTTCAAAATAGGGCGGCAGATTAATTCAGGGCAGGATGCAAATGTATTACAGGAGGATCTAAATAAACTGCAGGGGTGGTCTGAAAAATGACAAATGAAATTCAACACCAGCAAGTGCAGTGTACTTAATATTGGAAGAACAAATACTGATAATGTATACAGCCTTAACAACATCAACCTAGAGAAGTCGACTTGTGAAAGAGACCTAGGGGTATTTGTAAGCCCGGACCTGCGGCCTAGAAAACAGTGCGTTAATGTTCGAAATAAGGCAAACAGAGTATTGGGTTTTATATCTAAAAGTGTAAGTAACAAGAGTGCAGAGGTCTTATTGCAACTATATCTTGCGCTAGTCAGGCCGCACCTCGATTATGCGGTTCAGTTCTGGTGCCCTTATTATAGAATGGATATAAATTCACTAGAGTCGGTGCAGCGAAGATTGACAAAAATGATTCCGGGACTTAGAAACCTTCCATATCAGGATAGGTTAAAGAAACTTAACTTGCATTCCCTAGAAAGACGAAGAGTGCGGGAGATATGATAGAAGTATTTAAGTGGGTGAAAGGAATCAATAAAGGGGATATAGATAAAGTTCTTATAATATCCGAGCAGGATAGGACTCGGAGCAACGGATTCAAGTTGGATAAGTTTAGGTTTAGGAGGGAGATAGGAAGAAACTGGTTCACAAATAGGGTGGTGGACGAGTGGAACAAGCTTAGCAGCTTTGTAGTAAGTGCGGGAACTCTGGAAAGTTTCAAAAGGAGGCTAGATAGATTCATGGATGATAGAGAGTGGTAGTAACTCTCGACAGGAGCTGCCATGCACATTGCACAGGCCAACCGGCCTATTGCAGACTCCTTATTTTCTTATGTTCTTATATAGGAGGGTGAGATCAAGTCCACAATGGTCAGGTATTAGGTAATGACCCTACTAATCTTCAAAGAGCACTGTAGCAGTCGGTAGTCAGATCAGAGGGTAAGCTGACCCAACCTTCTCACCTGGTTACAAATCTTCTTAATTACGAAATTATCCAGTTTGTACATACCATTACTCAAAGTCATGTTGACGGATTCGGTATGTATAATGAGACTAGATTCTATAATGTTCCTACTGTCAATTGAATTACAAGGTAATATTGACGAGGCATTATCCCAGTCAATGCAATGCTTATTATCCCTCAAATGAACAAACAGAGCATTGGATTCCTGGCCTGTCCTAACACTATATTTATGTTGCTTAAGTCTAGTTACAAGATCTTTACCTGTCTGGCCTAAGTAAAACATATTACATTCCTTGCAAGGAACCTTATAAATGCAGCCACCTGTATTGTTGGGAGAGTTCTTGATTAACATTTGTTTAACAGTGCATGAGTTTTTAAATGCCACATTGACGTTCCAGGTTTTTAGTTGTAAAGGAATTTGAGAGAAATTTTTGTGAAATGGTAATACTAAGAGATTCTTATGGTCATGGGTGGGCTTGGGATCGGTTCTATAGAAAGATTTATTAGTAATGTTAAGGCATTTGTCTATGGAAGATCTAGGGTACTTAAGGTTCAAGCCAATATTATAGATATATTTATATTCCTCATCAATGAATTCCTGGCTGCAAATTCTCAAAGCACGTAAAAACATTGATGAAAATACTGACTGTTTGACTCTATTATGGTGGGCAGAATAATAATGAATGTATGAACACACAATAGTAGGTTTCCTATAAATACTGAACTTAAAGGTGTTACCTATTCTGTGGATCAGACCGTCTAGGAAAGGCAGTTTACAGTCATGCTCTAATTCCACAGTGAATTTGATCGAGGGGGCTAAGTTATTAAGTTGAGGCAGGAAAGCTTTTAGGTCCTCATTACATGGCCAGAGACATAATACATCATCAACATATCTAAACCAGACTGCTGAAGGTGGTAAAATATTACTTAATAGTTTCTTTTCAAAGAATTCCATATATAGGTTGCTTAATACTGGTGAGAGTGGATTACCCATTGCCATATATATATATATATATATATATATATATATATATATATATATATATATATATATATATATATATATATATATATATATATATATATATATATAAAAGGACAAATTTGCCTTTCCTCTTGACTCGAATTATTCTCGGTTGATCATCCAATTGACCGTACACCCAGTAGTTGCCACAGTCCAGGAAGCGCCAATAGTCCCTACCGTAGATCCTTCATGACCTGGGCCTCGGCAGCTCAGTTGGACGTTAACAGAAACAAGGAGTATCGTGGTACTTTAGTTACAGAAGTGTAGGACCACTCATCAAGGCAAGACACACTCTTTTAAAAGTTATCGTTTGGTTTTGGCGGGAGATTTATGTAACAATCGGTAAAAAATAAACTACCTTACAGGTGGGGGTCTGATGACTTTCCAATTGAACATTCCCGTTGTCTCGCGAGGGTTGGTAGACTTGAATGTGAGACATTTCGTACTTAATTTGGTAGGCCGAAATTAGCTATTTCATTGACAATATTGAATTACTTCGTTACAATATGACTGGAGAATGTCAGTATATCTAGACAAGTTAAACTATGGTATGTTAAATGTTCCACACACCGTGAACTACAGTAACCATGGAAGTGGATGAGTTGCCATACAGGAATACATTATATGTTTGGAAGAATTAGCGGATAAAGTAAAGGTATAAGATTATTTTGCACCCGAATTTCGAATCTGTATTTGTATTGCTACTTCACTTTGGTCTAATGCCACATTGTCATTATTTATTAGTATTGGAAAATATACCATGCTGCTCCGAAACATCTAAATAGCCCCACAGTTTCGTATGCCGTCATAATGGAACCCGGCCTAACGACGTTTTACCATACGGTCGATAATTCCGGAAAGTCTAGTACTGGATTTTGTTTCAGTGTGTCGATCAATTGTTTCGAGCACGTGTGACCGAACCCATACACGCGCAGGGCTGCCAGTGCGAGGAATGCCTCAGGGGTCTTTTTATACACTTCGTTTGTAGTGTCAGTTAGTTTCGCGCAGGAATTGTAACGGTAGTTTTTTTTTACCGAGTGTTACGTGTGTGGAACAATATGGAGCTTTGTTTTCACGAGCTGTCAGATGCGTCTATAATGTGGTTTGACAGATTCACGTATTTTGACTTGTATAGAATATCTACCTGGTGCAATAAGTCTTAAAAGATGTATAGATTATATCCTTATTTAATCTCTTCACCCTCAATCCTGGAGTATTATCTGCTTTAAGTACAGTAGTTGAATAAATACAGATACACGTTTAAGTAATTTAACGCTTTGCGGAATTTTTCGATAATTAGTGATATACTAGTTTTGTAATACACCCGAGTTTTTCACGACTTAGATAAAAAATCAGTTCGCTCCGCAGCCACTTCACATTGGGGAAAAAATCAATTTTTTATGATTGCGCCGGACGTCAGTCATCTTCGCTCCTCTCTGTCAGGAGTAAAGGATCAGAGGAAGGTTTGCCCAGCGTGACAGCCCCTTGAAACGCACAATAGTAAGTAAACATGAAGGAAGGTTTCGATTAAGCCTAATAGCAAGCACTCGATTACTGCAATAGATGATCGACCCGCTCATCCTGACACAAGCGGAAAATGGTGGTGAGCCGTGGGCGATGTACAGGGGGCGTCAGTGCGTTCGTTTCTTGGGTGTCGGGTGCAAAACACACACACACATACACATACACATTAGGGTTTATATATTATACAGTCAACTTTATTTTGCTAAGAATTTTACAAAATGGGGACAGTTATTGCTCGTATAGGCTGAATATATGCATGTGATTTTATTTAGTATGTATAAGTTTTTTTATCGTGTTGTGAGCTGTCATAGCTGAGATAGTTATGGTCTACTGACATAGTTCCAGTTTTTCTTTTCAAGTGAGGTTAGTGTGTCTATCCGTTGTTGGTGTTATAACCGGGCCATGGAGGGGCAATTGTCTCCCTCGTGTGTTGATAAAATGATAAGAAAGACTCGAGGAGAGTCGGACCTCCTGGGGGGAAGTGGGGAGGGTAGGACCTTGCTGGAGTGTGACCTTGGGTAAAATTGACCACTGCATTATTTTCCTTATGTGGTATTGTAGTTGTGAAAGACAAGGTTGTAGGAACATGGTGATTAACATAACGGGTGGTCATGGCTGGTGAACGTGTGTTGTGCCATAATAGTGTACTGACAACCGAGGCTGTGTAAGGACAAGGGCACCAGAAGCTGGGCGGCTCTGGAGTCACACATCATCCTGTTGGTGAGGCGCCACGCCGTGTGAGACCCGCTGGTGCCTGACGCTCTCCAGCCATTCCCTCACGCTGTCCCTGTATACACACAATGTAAACACACCTGGACGGACTGAACGGGGCAGGTGAAAATCCTATATAAACTTTTGTGTTCATACCATGTATTACTGAGAAAGTTCACGTGATACACCGGAGTGAATTTTTTGAAGTCTTGTATAATGTACTTTCGTTAGTGAAAGTATACGATTGAACTACGTCTCCAAATATTAACGACAAGAACAACAGTTCAAGATTGAGAAAACTACTAAGAGTTGTGCATCGTGAACCATTATAGTGTAGAATAAGGGGCTCATAACAGGAAGGAAAAAAAATTGTCACATACTGCGAAGACAAGAAAACACACTTTGTAAAGAACGAGATATATTTAGTGTGTAGGAGCAGTGTGTGGTTGTGACTGTGACAGTAGTCGGTCCTCGGTTTGTCTTCAACCCTCGAGAAGGAAAGGCAGTCCAGTGAATCATGAAGAGCCGCCTTGCCGTAGTCCAGCGGCCCTGGTGGGTCTTCAGGAGCTCCGTACACCTGCTGGTGGTGTTGACGGGGGTTCTCAGATACGCGTCCTGCCAGTCGTTAGTAGCCAAGTGTCCACAAAGGGACAGTTTAGACAACCCAGAAACATACTGTGAGTGTAGTCTGGGTATGACACGCAGTGGACGCACCGTCACCATCATCTGTGATTTCCAAAATATGAAGGTAAGATGATGGCGTCATCACAGTGGAGCGTGTTGCATCTTTCATAACCACACAGTACATAATACACACACAAACGCACAAGATTCACTCGTGTACACAATCACATAAACAATAAAACTTAACATCGTATCTACCTTTTAGCTCTTCTAGCTCGGTGCTAAACACTAGGTCATGGCGGGCGTGACGCAGTCAGTCGTCTTCCCGTTACGTGTTGGCGGTTTCTTTCAACATCGCCAGGACCAAGCATAGCAGGAAGTGCCCTCGTGGGATGAAGGGAATATAAGAAAAATATAAAAACATAAATAGAACTAAATGAACCTTTTCCTCACATATTAAATATTTAGTAGCTTTCATGGGGTAAGGAAATCTCACATTTGTTCAAATGAAATCCCGGGAGTCCACAGGGCCCTTTAAGTGTGTAAGATTTTTTTCAGGTATTCTTATAAGTTATTGAATGAAATTCGGTGATGTCAGGCATGATGTATCTCAAAGGTAAAGAGACGAGTTTTTTTTTTAAGCGAGCTTTTAACGAAGTGTTTTGGTCTTTAAGTTTCATCGCTAAACAGTAAATTTGATTGTCATGAAACTCTCAGTGTAGTTAGTGCCCTATATAATTTGTACAACACTGCCAAGATGGTGGCCATCTTCAAAATCATCTTGGTCCTCTCAAACTCACACTGCGACGACCCCAGTGAAGGTTTACACAAACGTACCCCAAAGTCCTGTTGTAAAAGTCACATTTTGGTGCATTATTCAGAATGGCCGCCATGCTGGCGATCTTGCAAATAATAATATAAATATTTCCTGGGTTTCATGGAAGTTTATTTATTGGAGGAATCTTGTTGATGTTATAATTCACATACTTATGCAACTTTAGGGTTAACGTTAAATGTTTTTAAAAGGTAAAACCTTAAACATAATGTTTTGACACACACACACACACACGAGTGATAGAGAATTAGCCAAGACTTTCGTGTTGGATTGTCAACACAAACTTACACTTCGTTAATACGATTATTGTAATGCATAGAATACAAGTCCAGCAGTGGAGTTAGAAAAAGTGAAAACCATAAGGAAGCAGACCACAATAAACAACCTGACCTAACTACACCTGACCAATATTACTGCAGGGTTGCCAGGTAATAAGTTAGCTTTGATTGGTTTATTTCCTCTTCTTCACAAGTGATTTTCAAGTCAGTTTTGCATTTTGTTGTTGTTCCCATGCTGGATGTGTATTCTCTGCATGAAAAATTTATCGGTAAAATTTCGTCATAAAATATCGAGGAATGAACCGGCTCCTCTGATTACCATGCCCACGGAAAGACATTCAGATCTTCTCATTCCTTGAATTTAGAAAGAAAGGGGAGGGAAGGAAGTGAATCCGATTCAACGATCAACAGGGAAGCATGTGGAGTTATGCTTACCTTCTTGACTCGTGGAATTAGGACGCAAGTGCCTGAAGGGCCATGGAGTATGTGAACAAGTTACATGTAGTGACAGGATGAGTGTGTGGAGAAAGGATTCCAGATACACTTTTAGACGTGCTTCTGTCATTGATTGACATCACAATTGTTCATAGCAAACCAAAATGAAGTGCATGGTCTTGGTTGTGTTCCGTAGGTAGTTGAGGCGATGAGCACCAGAGCCTTCAAGGCTACGCCCTTACCTATTCCGAAGAAAGTTGCAACAGTATCACAACCAGTTGCTCCATAAACAGTCAACAAATTCAGGAAATATGGCATGGTGCTCAAGTGCTGTGGCGTTGATGTCAGTCACAGATCGGTCTTGTATGGGGGACATCATCATGACGCACAAAGTGGAATAAGAGAACGAAGATGTCTGTATCATGTCACCATAAGAGCTGCTTGACCACATGCTTTATTTAGTTGTATAATTATAGCGTCGGCTGCCTCTTGGGTTGTAGCCATGTCATGTCATCTTATCACTATTACATTGGCGAGTTCTACAGGCACATGTGGTTGTGAAGAAATGCCAAAAAGTGGTTTTCGGGTATATTTTCGTATTTTTAGCGGCCATCTTTTATATCACAAATTGCCCAAGGGTGTAACTTCCACACACCCCTAGATCTCATTATATACACCCCAAAGATGAATAATCAGCAGAGAAAAACACTTTAACCGAGAATTTTGGATCATGAAGTCCGGCTTCCGGACTACTGGTGGCTTACGGTGTTGCTGGAGCAACCAATAGTCTGCGGCCTGGATACACGAGTGTGGCGGACCATATGTTCGACACTCCTGTCGGACTTATAGGTTCTAAGCTGTCCCTGTGAACTTTGGGGGATTTTTGCCTGCCGCTTCAGAATCAGAGGATAAGTATGTTGGGTTTCTTCAGGGGTTTGAGAATCAGCTATCTGGAATTGTTCAGAGGGAGCAGGTAGATTGTTTTCCAGAGTATCGTCTTATTCCAAATGATTCTGTCTTTAATGGCCACGGTCTTTCAATACTATTTATTCAGTTTTTTTCACAATGGACGAAAAATTTTTAAATGGCCTGTTAACATATATTACCCATTTTGTTTACATCTCACAGGGAGTCTTGCTGACGGATGCTCTGTACCCCTTCCGGGAGTCTAAATTGTTGAGCGCTTATGTGCGGGTGGTGAATGCGACTAGTGTACAGGTGACGGGCGCATTCCTGCGGGAGTGGCAAGACGCTCCCTCAGCCTCCCTGGATGTGTGGAGGAGTGGGACACTCATACTGGATGCAACCCCTGAGCTGACCTCCAACAGAAACCCAACCCTCTTCACCACTTATGTCGGTGAGTCTTTAAGTAACAAATGGTAAAGCTTTGTTTTATGGCACTTGGGCATCTCTTTGGGGGTAACCTAACTCCAAAAACACTAAAAACCTTCTTTTTTTTTATTTGACTTGTTTGACATGCTCAGAAATCACATGTTTTACCATTACTGGTCAGGTCGTTAACCGCTTGGGAGGTCAGGTCATCTTTGTTACGCACTGTTGACAAGTACAGTACTGGCAATGCATCTAATGCTCTAGTGTTGGTCAAGTCTGGTCTTGAAACAGCTCATATTTAGTGCCATCACAACACACACTGGCAGATTGTACCAAGAGTTCACAATTTTCACACTGAAAAAGTTTACCCTCAGAGTTTTCTGGACTTGTGGCTTCTTCAACCTTGAGTTGTGACCTCTTGTAGGGTGGGTGTCCTCCAGGTATGGACACTCGACTAACTAGTGCCCTCTGAGATGTTTAGAAAATTAGGTCACCCCATTTGTTGTTATCAAACATCTTAAGCTACTGTACTTAATAGACTATCTCCACTAACCCCTGCACTGGCTAATGCCAGAGATTTTATTTGGCTAATGCAAGACGATTTTATTAGACTCCGAGGGAAGCCCGTACACAAGATATTAAAAGCCCATTTGAAGTACCTGTATATTCAAAATCCATTAGCATTTATCTAGACTTAAACATACTGTACAGTACTGTAATATAATTTTTCTGTAGTGATACCTTGGCCTCTTAAACATTCTCCAAAATCTGTGTAGTGAAAACACCTGCAATTGCTTAGCTTATATCCAAAGGCGGTTAAGGCAAGGGATGACTTGATAGAAGTCTATAAACACCTCAGAGGACATTACTCAAAACAAGTGTTTATACCTGGAACATGCGAATTACCTATCACTGTTTACTACACTGCATATGTGCAGAACCAAAAAAACCCGCTCGGTGCACGTAAAAAAAGGCCTGCAAAATAACTACCCAGATTGTAGAATATCCCCCAACTCTTTGCTCCAATATTGGAATTCAGGTGGTGGTAGGTGATTTTAGTTATTGAGGGTCGATTATATGTAGCTTAAAATAGGGATATTGCTAGCAGTCACCACACACACAGGGGCACATTATCCCGACACTGATATCACAGTACATATTTTGCTTAGTATTGTGCATGTGGCTTCTTTCGTTGTAGTAGATATTTCGCAGAACAACAGCACCGATCGCCCAAGTAGCTAACAAACCTATCAGTGGCAAAGAGGATAGTGTAAATTAAAGAATCATTCTTTGTTACTCCCCTTTTTCTGGGATATAAATTTTTATACTTGCCCCAGAAATCCTATTTATGGCAAAATATTTTTTCTGAACTTCGTTAGAAATCCACTTTATTTAAACTCAACCTCTTCGGCATTAACATTCATTTAGTGTTTTAAGGAATATGAGTTATTAATGTGAATGATCCACCCTGCTGGACAGTTGTAGATAATTGCAACACTTGTAGAATAATAAACCCTAGGGCTTGAGTAAGACGTTCCCTTTTGTTTAAGAAGATATTCTTTAGCTTTTTATGTGTGTGTGTGTGTGTGTGTGTACGTGTGCGCGCGCGCATATGCTCCATAAATATTTGGGTTTCTCTTGTTGGCATTGTACCAGTATCTACTAGGATATACTATCACCGTGTTTCATAAGAATTTTTAAGTGTAGTTTCAAATGCACCCATAAATAGAGCCTAGATTTCACTGAACATCAAATGAATTCACAAGATAAACCATGCAAGATAAAAACGGTTGTGCAAAGCTATTGTATATAAAATTAATCTATAATATTTACCTTGGTTCAACCTCACATCATGCCTACTATGTTTTAGGTATCGGCATCGCTGGCTGCTATGTGCCGGAAATCCCACCCAAATTACTGAGAGACAGAAAAGCAGGCAGTTTCAGAATCATCAACAGTGAAGTGGGAGTGATTAGAAAAGGCTTTATCCACAACGTTAATGAGGTGTGTGGAATTGTATTTTGTAATAATTGTGTATGTTGTAGAGTGTTTCCTACAACCAATGTTTTAATACCAGGCATCAGTTACAGCCACTGTAGAAACTGATAATGTGTTTGTCACAACAGATGCAAGTAGTAATAGGAGTTAACACAGCAGATGCAGGTTATATAACTGGCATAACAGATGGAGGTTAACTAAGAGGCACAACAGATGCAGATGTGTGTGTGTTCTACAACAGATGTGAATAAAAGCAGGCGTTTACCACAACAGATGCGGTACCTTGTGATGGAGAACTCGGTGGTGGAGGCGGTCGAGGGATCGGTGGCCACAGAGGGATACATCAACCTCAGCAGGAGACAAGAATACAAGTGGAGTGGTCTGCTCCTTTCCAATGTCACCATTAAGAATGTCGGTGCTGAAGCCTTCAACCTTGTCCATCAGGTTCCTAAAATCGCCTTCATCTTATTCATCAAGTTCCTGCCATCATCCTTGTCTCATTCATCAAGTTGGTGCCATCATCCTTGTCTCATTCATCAAGTTGGTGCCATCACCCTCATCTCATTCATTAGGTTTGTAATGAGGGTAAAGTATGAGTTATTAGTTGTAGGATTGTGAAGTGAGGAAAGTTGGTAGCATTGATTATTAGTTATTTGACTTAATATATTCTTAGGGGAAATTTTCTAAGCACTGCTTCTAAGTACAGCTATTTATTAGTTAACTGAATGACACGGACACATTAATAAATATATCGACGTTACTAGACAATGACTCCCGGCACAAACATGAATTTTTTTTTAAATCTGACCAATATCATGGCCACTTTGAAGCCATGTGCACTTGATATTAGGAGATATTCTTAAGTCAATAGTAATTACATTTTACCATCCAAAAATGCCTGAGCACAATACTGCTTTAAAGGAAAGGTATTGTAATTTTCTGATGAAAAGGGGGATCCGGACCCTCAGGACCCCCTCCCCCCGATCACCCTAAGTATCTGTGGTTCTTTAAAAAAAAAGTAAAGGTAATTACTAATTCCAAACACCTTTTGTTACCTGTGAATCTGAATGACAGTTTTAATACCTGAGTAGCAAAATTTTAATTCAGAATTACGTACATCTTGCAATGCAGTTCACATGAGCAGATTTTGAGTGCTGTTTCAGACACTAAGGATGTGTACTTACTGGACTTGTCTCACCCATCAAGTACTGTACTTACCATCACCCTTTTTTCACCTAACACCCAAATGCCATTACCCTTTTCTCATCCATCACCCACTCTTCATCCATTTTGAGTTGTTTAGAGAAAGTTTCATATTTCTTTATAACATAGGCTTTAGAATGTCATCAAATTAACTTGACATGGGCTGTTGAAGTCCTTTGCCACCCTACCTCGTACCCACCCTACCTCGTACCCATTCTAACTACTGTGTGTAGAAGTACTTTCTTATAGCTAATTTCAAAGTGATATTTAGTCCATATATATTCCAAATATTCGGTGAGGAGATAAATGGACTCATGGGTGTCTTGTGTTGCTCTTCATCTGTCTCTTGTCTATTTATTTATTTATTTGTTTATTTTACCTGTAAATGAAACTAATTCATCATCAATATTGTTTTTTACGCCCACTTGCCACACTTGAGTGGGTGAGCCAATTTGTGAACATGTGTAAAACATAATTCTTAGCCATTTGAGAGCTTAATAGTTTGTATGAATTTCTGTTACCTGTTTTCTTGACCATTTAGTTTTAGCCTAGAATATATAGACAAAACTGTGAATTTAAAACATAGACAGAATATCATTACCTGTATCCAGTGAGGAGTTTAATGGTGTATCTGTATGGCAGGGAAGATCGAGTAGTACCAAGTGAGGAACTGTCACCTTGGCAGGGTGGCCACAGGGGCCATTGCAGCAACTGGAGACATTGCTGTTACCATCAAGGGCAACCGCTTCCAAAGACTTGAGAAAGAGGCTTTTAAGGTGAGGCATGACAGATCTTCTGCACTCTGTGGCTAAATGGCCATTGGTGTAGACATTGGGAGATGGATGAGGGTCATAACCTCTCATTGGCATCTTACCTGGGAGGGAGGTGGAGGCATCACGATGTAAATTGAACTTTGAAAGAGAAATAGGTGAGATAGAATGTTGGAGAGAGGTGAATAGTATGTTGAAGAGAGAGATGGGGATAGTAAAAGGGAGAGAAGAGGGGATATGTTGAGAAAGAGAGGGGATATGTTGGAGAAAGAGATATTATGTTGGAGAAAGAGGTAGTAATGTTGAAGAGGGAGACACTGTACAGTATTAAAGAGAGAGGGCGGATATGTTGGAGAGAGAAAAGAGATATTATGTTGGAGAAAGAGGGGGTAGTACGTTGAAGAGAGGGAGTATTACTGTACAGTATATTAAAGAGAGAGGGTAGTACAGTATGTTGGTGAGAGAGAGGAGGTAGTATGTTGGTGAGAGAGAGGAGGTAGTATGTTGGTGAGAGAGAGGAGGCAGTATGTTGGTGAGAGAGAGTAGGTAGTATGTTGGTGAGAGAGAGTAGGTAGTATGTTGGTGAGTGAGAGGAGGTAGTATGTTAGTGAGAGAGAGGAGGTAGTATGTTAGTGAGAGAGAGGAGGTAGTATGTTAGTGAGAGAGAGGAGGTAGTATGGTCGTGTGAGAGAGGAGGCAGGCATGGTTGGGCGAGAGAGTGGAGGTAGTATGTTTTTGAGAGAGAGGAGGTAGTATGTTGGAGGAGAGAGAGGAGGTAGTATGTTGATGAGAGAGAGGAGTAGTATGTTGGTGAGGAGAGGAGGTAGTATGTTGGTGAGAGAGAGAGGAGGTAGTATGTTGTTGAGAGAGGAGGTAGTATGTTGCGAGAGAGAGGAGGTAGTAAGTGTTGATGAGAGAGAGGAGGTAGTATAAGTTGGTGAAAGAGGAGGTAGTATGTTGATGAGAGAGGAGGTAGTAGTGTTGGCAGGAGAGAGTGGAGGTAGTGCTGGTGAGAGAGAGGGAGGTAGTATGTTGAGGAGAGAGAGGAGGTAGTATGTTGATGAGAGAGAGGAGGTAGTATGCTGAGGAGAGAGAGGAGGTAGTATGTTGATGAGAGAGAGGAGGTAGTATGTTGGTGAGAGAGAGGAGGTTAGTATGTTGATGAGAGAGAGGAGGTAGTATGTTGATGAGAGAGAGGAGGTAGTATGTTGGTGAGAGAGAGGAGGTAGTATGTTGGTGAGAGAGAGGAGGTAGTATGTTGGTGAGAGAGAGGAGGTAGTATGTTGGTGAGAGAGTGGAGTTAGTATGTTGTTGAGAGAGTGGAGGTAGTATGTTGGTCAGAGAGAGGGGGAGGGAGGGAGTTATTGAATAAACTAAATTAATAAATGGCTTGTGGTGGCCTTGTAACCATATATATACAATAATCTACAGTATTTGACTTTCCTCCATACAATGATTAGGTAACTAAAACAATACATTGTTTAACAATTTATTTAGGGGAGACATTTTTTTCTTAATACCGGTATCAACTTCACATGTAAGTGATTCCATAAAAAACAAAAACAAAAAATTGTTCACTGTGTATAAGGTATGAGCAAAAAGTTGGCATCCCTAAATCTTACACTGGCTTTGTACAGTGTCTCATGAGAAAATAGGGGTTCATACAAGCAGTTAATCACCCCATCGCTTGAGAAAAAACCCTAATGAAATAAAAAATTCTAACTATGTATTAAAAACACTAAAACAAATTAAACAAAATGCTTGTAATCTTTAGGGCCTTACTCCTAATACAGACACCATTGGTGTCTGCCATTGTCCTCTGAATCTGATACTCAATCCCCATTTTGAGTATTTCCATTTTATGAATTGGGGATATATTATTGTTGCCATTATCTTTACCAAAAGAGATGTAGAGTGCATCACTGAGTTTTCATTTGTTGGTTAGAACAGCATTTTGTAACCTTTGTGGAGTTTCAACCCCTGAACCCCAAAGATTAAAATCTAGTTACAGTATTGTTCTGTGTACATACCTGTAAGTGTATGTGAATAATTGGGAATGAAAATTGAGTCAGATGCGATGAACAGAGGGTCACTCCCCTGGCCCAGGTTAAGAACCACTGCATTAGGTCACTTAGACAACATTGCACTATTCAACAGTAATGGCAGATCCATGCACTATAATATGAGATGAGTGGCATAGGTCCCCACACAGCAGTGGACAACATGACACTGAGGGAAGACGTGGGCTGCCTTGCAAGACTACCCACTCCCATAAGGCCTCAATCCCCCAAACTACATAGTGAAATCTACGTGCACCTACACTGGTTGCATAAACTTCACATATCCAACTCGGCAAGTCAAATAATTGCAAATTTTTCTTACACGCTAAGAAAGTGGTAGAAATAGGGTCTTTGCATCATAACAAAATCACATTAAGTGAAGTTACATGAAGTTGGGGACACCTGTAATGAGAGGAAGTACTTAGCTTAGGGGATGTAAACAGAGAAACCAGATATCAGACAAACAACATTGATATAGAGAAATCCGACTGAAAGAATCAGGGGTAATGATAAGTACTGTAGGGATCTTAAATCAAGACAACAATGTGTTTTTGCTTGAAACAAGGCTAAAAAAGTACTTTGATTCATGCAAATGAGTGTTGGTTACAAGACTAGCAAGGTTATCCTAAAACTATATCTTGCACTTGTGAGATCTCACTTCAATTATGTAGTTCGGTTTTGGTCACCGTACTACAGAATGGATATCGAATCCCTAGAAAGAATACAGAGGAATGCCAAGGTTAATCCCGAGCATTAGGAACCTTGAGTATAGGGACAGATTAAAGCATATGAATTTGCACTCCCTTGAGAGATATAGAGTGAGGAGCGAAATGATTGAGGTTTATAAATGGAAATCAGGGCTAAACAAAGGTGATATAACAGAGGCACTTACACTGTCCAACCAGGAGCGAACTCGTAGCAATGGTTTTAAATTAGACAAATTTAGATTTAGGCACAAGATAGGTAAACACTGGTTTGGAAATAGAGTAGTGGATGAGTGGAACAAGTTACCAAACATCATTAACTCATAACTCGCTGGGCAGCTTCAAACATAGGTTGGACTGATATATGAGTGATAGGGGTTGGGTGTAAACGGGACTGCCCAGTATGGGCCAATAGGCCTGCTGCTGTTTCCTCCATTCTCATGTTCTTATGTCATGCTCCTGAGATCAGTGTTATTACCTCACTATAATTATAATAAAAAAGTGTTTTACCAGCTATAAATACCGGTACCTGAAAGTCTGTCAGTACTGATGATTGATATTAATTTAAACCACAATTAATGCTAATTTCATTGTGAGAAAAAAATCAAAGTATTGTTACTACCAGTAAACATGTACTGTATATATACATAATGATAAAATAACTGCATTTGTTCCATGATTGATCAGGTTGATGTGAAGAAGGAGTTAAAGTTTGAAGATAACATAGCTATCTCTGTGGACCTGCATGCCCTGGAGGGTCTTATGTGCCACGAACTCACCTCCCTGGAGAAGAACACTGTACACCTTGACACCTTACCAGTTGTACCAAACAACTCCTCTGCCATCCCTTTTCATGTGTCATGTGGCAACCCACAGGTCAGTACCAGTTAAACACAGGTGTTGTTCACCTTCATGAATTTTGTATACCTTCTAATTATTTGATGACATATAGTACTTGTAAAACACGTGCATTTATATTTGTTCTATCTGTATCAATGCTTTATTTGCTGCTGGACACTACACCTTTTCATAAACTATTCTGTACTGTACCTATAAAGCCAAGCTCTGTATGTATATCTTTTTCAGGTAACTAATTAATGTACAGAAGTCATGTACTGTACTGCATATTTTATCAGAAAGGTCTTGCATTAGAAGTGTATTGGTAATTAAAGAGACTTGAGAAAGGCATAGTGGGTACAGCTACCATCCAGAACTAATTTCATCATATTTCATTAAACCAAATACTGTATGGTTAACATGGTATCGGAAACTGTTCAGGAGCAATGGCCTAGCCAGCCACCCTTTCTTTTTCTTAAAAATAAAAACCCTATTTCTAGTGGCATACAAAGTATCACATGCAGCACTGTATTGTACTGTTTTTATTTTTTTAATATTATACATGAGTTAAATTTATCTACAACACCATACAGAAGTATACTCAAACCATTATTTACATTTTCACTCCTTATACCGTTCTGATAATACTTGTACTGTGCATAAAAAGACACATTAAAGGAATAGCCAATAAGTTGACAAAAGTAAATATATATTTTTTCATCAGGTATTCATGGTAGTGAGTCCATCACAACCACTAACTGAGGAGGTGACCAGCACAGCCACCTGGGTACTGCTGACTGTTCTGCTGCTCCTGCTTCTGCCCATTATAATTGGTTGTGTGTATCAGTGGCGAAGTCAATATCAACAGAAATGCGAGTATAGAAGAGGCAACTCCTTCTACTTTCTTAATGGCCTAAGATCTTCAAAGGAAAATGTATCAAATAATCCAGAGGTCAACACATTGACAGAAGGTCCTGGAGAAGGCATGTCAAACCCTCTCTATGAAGGAACAGAACCCAGCTGCTCCATGTAATTGCTAAGTGGCTCACTGCACATTACAGTATTCTTTGGAATGAAATGCAATTGAATATTTTCTAGTTTTGTGTTCAGTGAAATTCCCAGTCTTCTTGCTAATACAGTATTACAATAGTATGCACATCTACTGATCTACTTGTTGCCTATGTTCTTTTTGAATGACTATTTAATACTTGATGTTGCTTATGCTTCCATTCACCTAGCAAACTACACATTACCTTATACAGGGGGCTCCCAAAGTTCGCATATTTTTACTTCGCGGATGACACCCTGGATGTACCCAAGAATGGCTGTGGGTAGTTTTAAAGTTGCCTGCATTTTCGCAGCTGGGACAGGGAGCCATTTGTTCTAGACAGTAATTTCCTTTACCTGTATTGTATATATATGTGTGCGAGTGTAGACACACACACACACACACACATACTGTACAAATAAATAATACTGTAATTGGAAAATCCTTTCACAAATAATCAGAAACAAATTTATTATAAATGTGACAGTCTACTCTCAAGTCGGTGCTCTAGTAACAAAGTACAGTACTGTAATAGAGCACGGACTTGAGGGTAGACTGTCACACTTTTAATAAATTTGTTTCTGATTATTTGAGAGCAATTAACAATTATTATTTATTTGAAAGTGTTTTGTGTGTACAGTATGTATGTGTGTCTACACACACACACACAAACATATACAATACTACAAGTAAAAGAAATAATTGTCCTAAGGGAAAACACATAGAGGGAATATACATTTGCAAATGTTATTCACGGATTTGGCGATTCGCGGCCATTTTTAGAACCTAACCCCAGCGAATTTGGGGGACCCCATACATAGCCGAGTACAAGTTGCTCTCACTGTACCGGGGGATATATTCCTAAAGAGGCCGAAAATTACTGTGTAGGTAAAGATATGTTTCTGTAGTAAGACGGAGTTACAATCCTAGCATCAGGCAAAGTCCCTCTTTTGAATGTCTTGTACCAGGTTGTCATGCATATAGTACTAATAGCAATTTAATACAGTACTGTAAATTTTATTGAATGAACCATATGCAGTCAATAGTTACTGTGTTTACTCTATATTACATTTTTATTTTCTGCACGAGGAGAGTTAAGCACATTTATAGAACTCTTTTACACAACCAAAAAAGTATCGGGCCCTTTTCTCGTTGATACAGTATGTCACAATAGACAAATATTTCTGATCACAAATTGTGATTCCTGCATTACAATATGTTGGTAGGGCTGCCTTCCTAATATATACTGTATGTAAGGTTGCCAGTTATTATTTCTGGCATTTGTTGTAATTATGGTGAATCACCATGATTCATCTTTAGTAGAATAATATAAGGATATTAGTGTAGTGAAAATATATCAACGGCAGTCAAATAATGGGCGTTTTCTGCTGGAAATCCATGATCATCACTACTACCTGAGACTCATTGGAAAACACAGCATACACCAACAGACATGGAGAAATGTCACTCTCCGAATAACAGTAGCTATATATAATTAGCATAATGTTTACCTCATTGCTTAGGCCTATGTTATGAAGGGGGATGATACTGCCTCGTGTTGCCTGTGATGTCTCCTTAGTGACTGTCAATCCAATGGGAGGACTTGACAACATCGTCTAATAGTGTGTATCAGATAATGTTCTGTTGCCAGCACGAATCATGTGATGATACTTTATATTTATAAATGTTACCTCATCAATTGCAGTAGAAATAATATCAAAATGCACTAAAACCTTATGTCTTTGTAATTGGATATGGCATCATAATACACATGTAATTATTATATTTATATTTGCAAATGAGTGTAATGTTGGATTACAGTGTTTCATATTTCGTTCGAAGCAATTCTATTGTAACCTTGGTTCATGAAAACTAGTAATGTTAAATTCCTATTTTGCAACTCATCCCCTGAGGCTGAAATAGTATTTAAGGTGCATAAATCAGAGGGGTTACTCATGACAAGCAGCTCTCCAAACTGCATTCTCTCTTGCAGCCTCTCTCATCAGGTTTTTATCTCTGAGATCATTTCTCATAACCTTTCCCCATGTCATTCATGGTCTATCCCTAGCTTTCCTCCTCTTCACATTCAAACTTGGGCATCTTTTGATACAGTTGGTCTCCTTCATTCTCTCCACATGCCCGAACCAACTCGACTTGCCTCTGCTCAAAATCTTGCTAATGTTCTCAATACCCAGCTGCCCTCTTAGCTCTGAACAGGGTTTCCAACCTCTCTGTCATATTACACATCCATCTCACCATTGTCAGGAAGCAAATTTCAAGATATTGTATGCACAGATAATTTCCACAAGAAAGAATTTCAGATGGATATAAAATCTTAATTTATACAGTACTGTATTCACTGTGTTCATTGACATGAAAACCTCTTCGAATAACTGTAATTAAGACTGAATTTTTATTTGCAGAATTCAAGATGGAGGTAGTTTGCCCAGCCAATGACAACATGGAGGCTGTATTATTGCCTCTCTCTCAAGCCCTGGATTAAAATGAAAGAGTAATGGATTTTTATAGAAGAGAAGTACTGTACACATGTAGATGGCAATCATGAAATGTTACTGACCAGCACAAGATTTGTGAATTTTACTGCACTATCGTAAGCACAAATTATGCTAATGCTGTGTTGGATCAAGGATGTTGAAAAACTATTCAAGATCTCCAGGACTACATTAATTAGTTGAATGATTAGTTATATATCTTCAACCTCAAGTAATAGCATCACTGCAAGTTACATAACTGAAGCTACAACTAGACACTAAAGACAGAATTGTGCAAATCTGGAACAAACTTCAAGGAACAATGACACAAGGAATGGGTGATGACAAGTAAGTAATAGATAAAGCACAAAATCAGTTATAAAAAGAATTTCAAAATGGAATTTTAGGACAAATATCAAATTGATTAACAGTACAGGATTTAAATTTGTCTATGCAGTAAAACTCTATAATTCTTACCCCTCAAATTCAAAATCACTCATAATTTGTAACGTTTTGCCGTTATGAAATTTATATTACTGTAAAAATTTTGTAAAACAGTACAGTATTTGTTAAAATTTTGAAATACAGTAGGAGCGACATATTAAAATACACTCTACTCCTTGGTTTACGGAAAGGTTCCGTTCCTGGACCCTATCTGTAAGCCGAATTTTCTTTAAACCGAAAAGGACCCTTCCATAAGGTAAACATGTATAGGGTACTGTACTCTGTACTGAATCACAGATGGCATCTCACAAGGGGATGCACTCAGCCGCCTTAAGCATAATCCTCCGCAAATAGTGTTGTTATGCTGTACTAGTTACATTACGTAACAGAAACTCTTACGTAGCCCACAAAATTTTATAATGGGACTTATGGGAGGTATTCTGTATCCTCGAATTTCTGTAAACCAGGGAGTGTCTGTATTACTATACAATATACAGTCTCTCCTCGACTTACGATGGACTTCCGTCCCCACGACCAGGTCGTAAGTCGAATTGGTCGTAAGTCAAAAAGGCGAAAATAATACATAGAAATTCTAAAATGGGTGTCTCTTTTACTTCTCAGCACCACGAGAGCTCTCACTTTTACGCTTGCCAGCCATTTTAAAGGGAATTACAAACAAAAATTTTGTCAGTACACAGCACGATCACTAACGTCAGGACTCGAAAATACGTAACGCGAAAAATATTTTATACGACCATGGCCGTCGTATGTCCGGGTTGTCGTAAGTCGAGGAGAGACTGTATATCATAATTTTCATATTTGGTATAATTTCGGATTATGAGAGACATTTGCGAATATGTATGACACAGGTGTCACCATGGGATATGACTGTCCGGCCCATCTCGAGTGTAAACTAGTACTATACACATCACGTGTGTTGGTCAGTTCACTTTGGTCAGTTGTGGAGTACACATCTATGGTCTATTGCACAAGCTTTTTCCACTTGTTTTTCCATCATTGCCCAGTGTTTGAGCCATTATATCTGATAGCCCTGGACCAAGCACCTCAAAAGGTACTGTACTTAGAAACATTTGTTTTTCCCTCGGGAAGAGGTGTCCCCCATACTGTATTTCGTAAAATCTCCCAATTCAAAAGGGCCAGAGCCCCCATTATTTCAAATTATGGGAGTTTTACTGCAAATATCAAGAAGTAAAGTGATTTAAGTATTGTACCAGTAAGTTATTAAATTCTTTTATAAATATATCAAAATTAATATTATTTGGTACCAATAGTTAAGTTATTAATACACGTGTTTTTGTAACTAAAGCAGCCTTCATAACATACCAATACTGCACATACCAATAAATTTTATGATAATTTATAATGTGTGTGATACCCGATACCATTCATCACCAATATATAATGAACGTAAGCAAATGAATATAAATAATTGTGGTACTGTATTTAACTTGGGTGAAATGTAACCTAGTTCCCTTTCGTGGAAAGAAGGAAAGGCCATGTTTCTGAATATACGGAAAAGTATGTGTAACTAAAATTCCAAAAGTTCCTAATTGCTATTTAAAGGAGGCTTGTAAATAATAAGTAATCAATAATACATCTGTTGTGGCACTAACATTATTATTTTGCCTAACATTTGTAACTGCTGCAAACTAATATAACCCGTTTTCCATTGGATGTTACATTTCCACCGGGGTTTGTGATAATTACACTAATTTTAATGCACGGAAGCTTTCTTTCTTAGGGGTAATAAATATAATATATAACAATATCCCTTTATTTAGCAAAAAAGGAACCATCCATAAAAAATGTCCTTGTACACAGAACAAAACCATCCTAGCAGGCTTCTTAAAATAGGAGGAAAATAATACAATACCCATTATCCCTTATGCAGGATATATAGCTCTCATTATGCAGGATAGGTACAACACTACAAAATATTACCTTAAGCCATCTTTCCACCAGACTCTATTAATTTGTATCTATTAATCTTGAGAAAATTGAATAGCCGCTGATCATCCAGCACTGAAGTCGATAACGTAGAATAATGGTATATAAAAAATCACATTGCACAAACTTTTCCAGCCATATATAATTGCGATCTTGATTTTCTTTAAATATTTGTACGAGTTTACAAACTTTCTTCCCTTAATCTAACATTTTTTAATGCTGACAAACCATAATTATGACTATCTTGCATGATTAGCAGTTTCAATGATGGTAAGATATTAACATCTGAAAGGCTTGTTTAAAAGAGTAGCATACAGTAATTTCAATAAATAATGAGATGCATGTAAAAAAATTAAACACTGGTACCATTCAAACTTTCTCAAGGGTTCTCTCTTTTGATCAAGCCTTTCGTACATTAGTTAACATTTCTGTGTAGTACAGTGGCCACGAATCTTTATATTCTATAAGTGGAAATAAAAGATTATTTCATATGTAGCTATGTGCACCACTTAGACATATCATGATCACACACACAAGCAGATGAACAAAATTGCACACATTCAAAACTCATTTATACAAGAAAAAACACTTCCAGTTCCTCAGAGTTATTTAAGATGACACCACTTTTAGTTAATACAAGGAAATAACTAAACCAATAAAATTTATGTGAAAGTCAAAAACTCTCGTGGCCACTGACTCCTGAATATTGAGCAGTGGTAAGGCACACTAGGAAGTAGTCTATGACCATTACCTGGTCCTGACTAGCAGAGCATGTGGAATATAGAAATACTGAACATGTACTTGTTAATTACTATGCACTGCATATTTCCTGAAGCATATAAATAAATATCTCTGTCAGTACCTCTGAAGTGTGCATCATTCAAAAACTCGAGCACCAATCATTTGCTTTATTTTTGTCTTCAAATTTAACTAAAAAGCACCAAATGAAAATTAAATTTGTGCATAAAATTTAATTATAAGCACCAATAAGCTGCAACCCATCAATAGGTAACACAAAAATATTTAAAACCCTGTATTACAAAGTCAGACACTTGTAACTAAAACAAGTCATTCCAGTATTACTAGGTCACATGCCTGTAAGCTAAAATAACTTTTATTTAAGTATTACAAGGTCAATTGCTTGTAGGCTAAAGCCAGCCACTCTATATTTTGAAAGAGTATAAAAGCCTACCTGAGCCATGAGACTTTTATTCATCAAATAAAAAATTATGAATAATTTTTAAATTACAGGTATCGCCAAATGTTGATAAATATAACTCTGGTCTACAAACTACAAAGTACTTTGTCTCTGTGAGTCAATTTCCCTTATTTTCACGTATTTTGTATATGCAATGTTTCACTTTTCAAATTTTGGATACCTATTAGTTAAATTAAACTTTATGAATATTTTATTCTCAAAATAGTTGCTCAATAATATGTTAGATCTTTAATGCTGAGTGAGGTAAACCCCACTCAACAGAAAACAAAGGTTCAACTTCAATGGAGTTATAATACATAGCTAGCTAGTTGGTATTAACTAGGGTGAATATTTGTATCAGGCTCATTAAAAGATATTGAAAATAGACAAAGTAGTGACGGATCATATATCCAAAGAACGATTTGCACTGCTTTACTACTTTTTGGGGGTTATATAACTATGACCTAATCCACAAGAAATCTGAAATCATAACATTAATTACAGTGGCCCATGCAAGGAGTGATAATATGTTTAGTTATTTAAAATATAAAAATGGCAGGTTTACTGTCCATAGACAGCAAATTTTAGAATAAAACCATTACTGGCCATTACTCATTTCACTAAATGACTTAAAAAAATTTCAGAGAAATGATGTATTCATTCTAAAGAGTAAACAAACTATTTATATAGGTACCAGCGTTTTTCTCTCGTGTTCTGTGAGCTCTGGATGCCACACGTCCACAATCAAAATGAGCCGAGGTGAGTCTCCTTCATGCCAAACTTCATGTTCCCAGCTGTCATCAAATATGAAGATCTTACCTTCTTGCCAAGTGGTAAATTCATTTCCAACTCGTAGGCGGAGGCCATCTGGCACAACTAGACCCAGGTGAGCACGCAGGCGACAGTTGGTGGGGCCAGTGTGAGCATGTACATGTGTACCTGGATGCATCACACTGAACTTGACCTACAAATAACATAAAAATTAATTTCTATTCTGATTTAACTGAGACCCATTTCAAATAATTGGAATAGCAGGAATTCATAAATATATAAACCTTTAACACCTTGAGTACCAATGACAATGATCTTAAACTAAACAGAGTATTACAAGGAACCAGTGTGAGTCTTGAATGTACAATGAGATTACACAGAAGTGCCTACAAGGCATAGCTGAAGTAATGCAAGGTGGTTGAAATTAAGAGCAAACACAATTTATCCTTCATTCTCCATCAACCTAACTCATATGGCTGTAACCTGCATTTTGCCACAGTGTTCTACTTTCAAAATAATGCCTCAAGATAGCCTTGTAATTTACCCTAATGGCTTCAATTGAACCCTATATCATTCATCAGGAGGAATCTGTCCCCAAAATCCACTCAATGTCATGCTTTTTGGATATCCATTCCTTATCATCTGGTCCCTCCTTCACCCCATCTTTTCACTGCCAAAGTCTTCCCCTCCCTCTCCTACCATCCACTTATATACAGTATTACACTTTTTAGTTATCTTTCATTCTCTATCCTGTAAATGTCAAGAAGACCAAAGCAAGCTCATGTCAGCTATGTCTAACACCACTTTCACTTTCCTATCTTTTTGCTTTTTATATATTCTTACATCCTATACAATCCAATTTAACTTGAGCACATAATTTCTGCCATTTCCAGCTTGCTTCTTATTTTTATATCCAAGGTATCACTGTCAAACTCAACTGTTCCTCTATACATCTTAATCTTAACCTTCCTTGATACAATTCTGTCTATACATTTCTCAAAGCAATGATTATTTTCTATTTCCTTTGCAAGTCTGACTCAACATTCGCTCGCTGTCCATTATTGACACATCCAATCCCAGACACCTCCATTCATGCTGACATTCAACCTTGCCCTCCATCTCCATTCTCTTCTTATTTTCATCTTTTTTCTTCATATTTACCCATCAATCTCCTCACTACACACAAACGTCCAAACTAACATATGCAACTTTTTTTTCTTCAGAATCACCCTCATGCATAGTGTCATCTTAAAACGGAAGCTGTCTTACATCCCATTATGTATCCCCATCTTTTATCAATCAAATTTGCATCTTTTCCACTTTACTTGTCTTCATCTGTTACCATTCCATCCACATAAATTCTGAACAACCTAGATACAGTCCAACTTTCACAAGGAACCAGTTCTCATCTTTTGAGACTCCCTTAACAAATGCTTCACTATCACACTAAAAAACTTGGGAACACCATTCAACAGTTTCTCTATTGTTCTGTACATGTATTAACAATTCTCATTATTTTTTTATTGAGTCTAGTCTATATGCTACTTCCACATCAATAAATGCCACACACATATTCTTATCCTGGTATATATCTTATTCTCATAGCTACCCTGCAAGTGAATGGTCATTAGATCAACCAACCCTTGAGCATACAGATATAGCCATATTTATGTACTCTAGGGTGCAATTTCCAATGCCAAAACAAACCTTCAGTGGACTAGCATCCTGCCAACAAGAAAAGGCTTATATGCATAATAAATAAACTCCTAATAAAAACACATGATACTTACACTCTTATCCTTTTCTGATTCAATACTGTACGTCCTTCCCCTTATTTGCTCTCCATTCATTCTACTTTTTCATTGGACAACATGAATAAAAATAAATGCATACCTGCCCTCTTTTACAAACAGCAGCTGGTGGGAAGTTTTCAATCAAAGAACATGTTCTGGGGGCCTTTACACAATTAGCTGTGATCTTGCGACCCCGAGTGAACAAGTCATATTGTTTCCAATCTCCCACATCTCTAAGATTTTCTGCCTCGGGACGAAAACCATCTTGAGGTGGAGCTGTTAGTAGTGCTGCACCCTCATCACGTATGGCCTCCCAATTTTCCTCGAGCTTCCTGTAAAAAATTAGGGGAATCTATAAAACTGTTTACAATCATCATATGTGGTAATACAGGGGTTGCAAGTGTGAAAAATGGCTGTAAAACATTGGTGATGAATGACAACTTTGATTACATATCTATATGGTAAGCTGTACCATGGGACTGGCTGGAGTTTTGCATATTGGTAAGATCACCTAGCAATACCATACTATGTTTTCAAAGGAATTTTTTGTCAATTTTAATTATCTTCCATGTTACGCAAAAAGCCTAAGAAAGAAAAAAATTAAATATCCTTTGCCCAACAATGTTCCTTACATTTACTAGGAAGGCCCCATGTCTATAAATACTAAGATGATAGTAGGAAAATTACCTAGTACATTATATGCATTATAATATACAGTACTGGGTTGCTATAAACTATAAAAAACATAGTATTGTACTGTAAATAAAGTTTCACTTGTAAAACCTTCTAAAACCTGCCCTTGGTATGAACACACTTTCTCATGTGATGACTGAGCATTAATGTATTCTACACCTAACAAGCAACAGAATGAATGGTTATGCTTTCCAAGGTGGATAACTTGACATTTTGGTGGATCATTACAGATACTGCACAATTGTGGTAGGTGGCTGGCAGTCTGCTATTCTTCCTTTTAAATTTCTTTATATAATACATAATACCAAAATAACTTGGTACGATATCACAATTCACTGGACATAAAGAGATGAAACAGTTATATCATATACCTGGTATCATACTTTCATCGATCTTTTTGTACTAGTGAAGTTCTCCATTCACGAACAGACTACCATTTTACTATCTTAATTTTTCCCACCTTTGTAAGGGCGGGTAAAGAGGTACAGAAACGACAAATAAAATGAAGCATATGATAAGAGAAAGTTTAATACATGTGTAGATGCCAAACAAATGATCAAAGCTAAAATTTAGTTTGGGTATTGCACTGTCATATATCATTCTGAATCTACACAGGCAAAGGGCGTGGCCCCCGACGCAACCTTTGTGTCCGGTCCATCTTATCTCACTATGTCTGGTCCATCACATCATGTCAATGAGAGAAAATTAAAAGGGTAGGAAAACTACTATCAAAAAGTGGAAGTCTACATTTTTAACACTACTGTACACTCCACTTGCTTCTATCACCACCATTTTTTATGGCCTGGCTCTCTGATTTTTGTTTAGCCTTACCCTAGAAAAATTTCTGAGGCACTTATGTGCTAGTTAAATAATTTATGGAAATGTCTGTATAAAGGCTCTGAACGACAACTTTCTTGTCAGGTTCAAACACCTGGACCCCCTCAGAGACGACTTATCCCACATGCTCATATACACACCTGAAGAACATTTGATATGTGGTCTGTTCCGGGGTCCAGAAGGGTCTTGAAGAGAGCCTATCCACATTGTAGAGAGACCGCTGGTACCTGCCTAGAAACAGTCCTTTCGCTACTGCACGGTCATATATCTGAAGAAAAAATATGCGTAGTAATAAATTAAACTTCTGCTACAAATAATTATGCAATATTACATGAATTCAGGAATGATTTGTACACTAACTATAAACCAGTACAAGAATGGCCATCAAGTCTGGACAATAAACCTAAGGAACACCATCCCCCTTGGAAACATATCCTGCCTCTTAGCTGTGGCCAGCTAAAAATCACTCCTTTCTGCCTAGCATCAAGGAAATCGAGAGCAAGAGGCAAACGTTCCCTTCCTTTCTTGAAGACCGCAAATCCATTACAGTAATATCTCCGTTCGCCGGAATCCCTCAAACCCAGAACTCTCTGATGGCTTGAATTGAAATTTTCTCGGAAAATCATTCCCAAAGCCGGAATTTTTTGGAAAATTCCGGCTTTGGTAATGATTTTCCGAAAAATTCCACAAATTTTTTCCGATACCTGGAAAATTATGGGGATGGGAGTTTTTTTCCAGGTTTGAGAGATGAAAATCAGGCCCATTTTCTGAAGATTCTGAGAAAATTTTTCCGTTACCCAAAAAATTCCGGGGATGAGGGATATTTTTCCAGGTTTAAGCGATGATGTAATGGGCAATTTCTGGAACTACCGATAAAATTTTTCCGTTACCCGGAAAATTCCAGGGATGAGGGATTTTTTCCGGCTTTGAGAGAATCGTCTCTTTACCCCCGAAATCTCTCATTCCCGGAAGAGCTCTGCACCAATTGTTCCAGCTAAAGGGGATATCACTGTATTAATATTCACCCATTAAGGATGAGTATATATTCCCTGAAAAATTATAGCCGAATTATAGCCGCCAAATCGCCAATTAACTATTTAAATTCCCACACTGCTTTGGGTCGAAACAACTCGGTTACAAGTACTGTACAGTACTGTAAAAATTACTAGGCAAAATGGGTGATAATCAAGAGGGTGGAGCCCTAACTCATGGCCCAAAATTGGATTTTGTTAAAAATCACAGTATAGATACCTGTACTCCTAAACATGCTGATTGAATCTAAGGTTAACAATTTGATTGTTGGGTAATTACTTGTTGCTTAGAAGATTTTAATGACATTTTATCAATGCTAATTACTCGCCAACTATCGGTTTCCAAAGTGACCTTTTGGTGTTTTTGTTATTCTGGAAATACTTAATTGGTTAAACCCCTTAAATTCAAAGTGCAAGAAAAAAAGTAGTTTGGTCAAAATATGAGAGAAAATTCCTGTCATAGGCTGTTGTATGAGGAAATCCGCAATACAGTAAGTCCTCACTTAACGTCGTCCCGCTTAACGTTGCTTCGGTACTACGTCGCTAAACTTTTTGAGACCTAAAATTCGTTTAACTTCCTGGTGATTGGATACTACGTCATTTTGTGTCGTCAGGGACTACTTTTACGGCGCATCACCCGCTCTCATCTGGCCGTGGTACGCTCTCTCGGCTCGGCGCGCTGCCCTCACTTGCGGAACGTCGCAGTGTCCCCACGCGATGCCAAGCCAGTCTTTGTTATGTCTTAACTTCATTCGTGTGTGCTTAAGTGCTGTTGCTCTAAAACTGTACTCTAACCATTCAAAATGGCTTCCAAGTACCCATCAAGTGCTACTAGTGAAGAGGCAACATAAGACCATTACCCTGGCTATGAAAATGGATGCATTAGCCCGTTTTGAAAAAGGGGGAATGTGCTGTGGACATAGCTGCTGTGCTTGGTCTAACCCCCACAATGGTGCGTACTATCCAGACCAACGCTGACAAGATTAAAGTTAGTGCTGGAAGTGGTTCTTCTCTTGAGTGCTACTAAGACAACTCGTACTAGAAGCACTGTGATAGAGAAGGTGGAAAAGTTGCTGGCAATGTGGATGGAGGACCAGAATCAACGGGTGGAGGAGCAAGCAGTGGCGGAGGAGCCCCAGTCAGCGCAGGAGGAGGAGGAGGCAGCCGCAGAGTCTCAGTGACTCGCCACCCTCCTCCTCTGCTCCCGCCACCCTCCTCTTCCTCTTCACTACCCACCAGACACCTCCGCCCATTGGTGAGTACCCGTACAAACTTAGTACAGTAGTTGTATATGCATGCACTATTTTCCATAGAATTGGCAATAATTTTCTGTATTCATGGGGCAAATGGAAGCTCAGGAACGTAACTCCCATATTTTATTTATTTCTTATGGGGAAATTGATCCTCTTAATGTTGTTTCGTATAACGTCGTGTTTTCAGGAACATAACCCCGACGTTAAGCGAGGACTTGCTGTATTACAAGTAGATCAGACTTACAATAAGGAGGGTTAACAAGCATGCACACCCAAAAAGGAATTTCCCTGATAACTGGTTTCAAAATAAACCCATTTCAGAAACCTGAAGATCTTCTTAGAAGCTTTAGGCCAAAGCAAAAATGATTTACACACTGTTTAACATCAACACTATGCTGGGCAGTGTTGAAGATCATTGACCATTTAACTTTCAACAAGGTCATCATTTAATTGAAAACACTCTTGCAAAATAATAAATACATCATAGGTGTAGTATTAGTGCACAGCTATAAGAAACACATAAAGGGAGCACTAAGCTGACAACAATGCAGAGTCATCTGAGAAGACATCAAAATAGCAGGAAGTGTGACTGGCAATTGAGGATTTGAACAAACATCCCATTTTATAGCTCACTTGGACTGCCAATACATACACAGTAGTATGACAGTGGCCGACTTTTAGCTCTCAGCCTCCAATGAATTGCTCATCAGTTGCTATCCTTTTTTATGGACTGCAGTAAGTTAGAAAAGGTATTATTTCTGGGTCTCTTAGGTTTTTACTTGATTTCTATAATACAGTTAATGTCATACAGCCATAGAACTTGCTTCAAATTTTCCTGAAGACAACCAGGACCCCATATCATCAGGTATCTTAGCAAATTCATGTAAGAGTAAAGAAAGGCCATAAAATGGTGCTCACAAATTTGTTAATCATACCTTGTATGCCTCTTCTACCTTCCCTTCACGCTGTAGTGCATCACCAAGGTGGAAGTAGAAGCGCCCATCATCCGTTCCCTCAGCTCCACTTTCAATTCCTTTCAGCATGTACAAAGCTCCACCGGAGTTATTTTTGTAAGTGTTTTTCAGGATAAATCCATAATGAACCTAAAAGGGAATGGAGGGAAATTTCACATTATAGATACAGCATGTACAATAAAATTTATGAGTATGAAAATACATAGTGTATAATATGGACACGAAGTAGTACCTTAAGCTGTGTATTCTTATATTACTCTATTAATTATGTATAGTAAAGTATTACAGAACATGTATTAATCCAATGTAATATTTCCATTTATTATGCACCATGTTATGTATGTGAATTATCATATTTACATTTTATGTATTCAGCTTGTGAATGCTGGCATCTGTACATGCCAGCGCGCAGTGATACAAAGAGTGAAGATCACCAGTCCTTAAGGTGTGGAAGTGCTCTGTCTTATTAGTTCCCCTGTATATCTCCCGTACGAGAATAAGAACCTATTTTCAAGATAATAAGTGTTTGTGTATACCCTCAGTAGTGTAGAACATTTTGGGGGTACCAAAGACAAACATAGATGGCGCAGTGAGATTTCTCAGTGAGATTCAGAGGACTAAGCCTTCCCGCCGGACTGTGTTAATGGCGTCTCGTCTTCAGCTTCAAGGATTTACAGCCAGACTACAAGCTTCAGGACTTACAGTGTTGTGAAGTGCTATGCTGTGTACAGTGCTGTGCTGTGAAGTGAAGTGTTTTGTGAAGTGCTGTGTTGTGTATTTTAATCAGAATTGTCTGTGCAAACTGCAGTCAGATGACTGAGGGAGCTTGTCCAGCAGTACGTGCACTCTCGTCTCCGGTCATTGGGTAACTGAGGACAACTTCGGTTCAGTGCGCGACTCTGCCCAGCTGCCAGCGCGCGCCAAGCCTCCCGGCAACGAGCCATACACACACACACGCACTCAATGGCCCACCTTATATTAAATTCTTGCGAATTACTTTAGGCTTCTGTAATTCTGTGCATAGATTACGAGGGGTTGACCCGGTCTTTTGCACAGATAGAGTACAGAAGCTGTCGGCATGTCTCACAGGGATCAAAATGATACCCTGGACGACGGGGTTATGAGTTTAAGCTTGGGAGACCTCTCCCCACCCACACTCAGGCCCCACGCTCCCCACAGTGACAACGCCCAATCACCCACAGAATCTCCTTGTTCGTCACGAGCAAGCTCTCCTGCGGTGCCTGCGTCCACAGATCTCTTTCAACTGATTAAGTGGATGGAAACTTCTCGACGCCAGGATTATGTTGCAAGGAGAGAAGAGGAAGAAATTCGGTACAGAAAGTCTGAAAGACGACGCCACGAAGATGAACAAAGACGCAGAGAACTAGAAGATATACGTAGAAGTGAGGATGACCTGAGAAGAAGAGAGGATCAAGCCAGATTTGAAGTCTTGATTTCCCTGTTAGCCTCCCCACAACGATCTACTGTACAAGATTCCTCTGCTACTACTAATGCTGATACGACTAGAGGTACTGGTACCTCATTTCCCAGAGTCGATTCAACAATTCCTCAAAAGGCTGCAGCACAAACGCCTCCCTCTCTGAAGTCTGACGCTTCTTATCAGATATTTCGGGAATGGCATCGACGTTGGCAAGACTATGCAACAATGGTTGACCTGTTAAGTTTACCACAGCCTAAACAGATGATACAGCTTTGTATGTGCTTGTCCTTAGAGACACAACGTACTCTCGAGCACACACTTCAAGTGCCTCCTACGACAACTCTGACTGTAGAGGCCGAGCTTGACAAGTTACAGGAACATGTTAAGGGACAGCGCAACGAAGCACTTAGAAGAGAACTCCTCCAATGTAAGCAGCTTGATGGAGAATCTTTTGATGCATTTTTTGTAAGACTCAAGAGATGTTCAGAGGAAGTTGATGTTTGTCCTGGAAATTCTCAAGTCTGTGAAGAGACACAACTCAAGACAATTATTTTAACGGGTATTCGAGATGAAGAGCTAGTTCAGCGTCTCATTTCACTTGACCCCACTTCCTCCCTTCAAGATGTAGTTACAAAATGTCGAGCGTACGAGGCCGCCAGGTGTGCGACTTCAGCTTTACGTTCACAACCTGACCAGGTGAGGGCGGTGTCTTCCTACAGAAAGGGTAAGAAGCAGCAAGGTAACCCCACCCCTAACCCTCCAGCTACACCTTCAGCAGCAGCTTTGTGTAACAGCTGCACGAGACAGCATGATGCCTCCCAGTGCCCAGCTGCTCAAAGCGTGTGCAGAAGTTGCGACCGTCAGGGTCACTGGGCTTACACAGTCAAGTGCCCTGCTAGCAAAGTTCAGTGCAGACTTTGTGGTCGTGTGGGCCATTATGACAAATGTTGTTGTAAGAAGACACAGAAAGGACACCACCAAGGATCCAAGAAGTCATCCTCAGGTAGTGCTGGCACGCCCCCTCCTTCTGGCAAGCATCAAGACGCTGTGTCCAGTCGTTCCTGCCGTCGTGTACATTGTTCCACAGACATGACGCCCCAGCACATCAGTGTCGTCATTTCTCACGGTAACTTGTCATCCAGTCTTCAGATGTTACCTGACACCGGTGCTGACGTCTCAGTAATTGGTCCACAACACTTAGCAAGTTTGGGAATACCCCGGAGCAACCTACAGCCCCCTCCTCAGACAACGAAACTGACAGCTGATGGTTCCAAGATGGCTCCAGCTTTGGGATCTTTCTGGGCTACTCTTACCTTTGGTAAGCAGTCTTGCTCAGCCCGGATTGAAGTTCATGATGGGATCCCGACTCCGCTTTTATCATATGGCCATTGTCAAGAGTTGGCCATTATTTCCAAGGAATTCCCCAAACCTATTTTAAAGGTCACCCATGTCAACAGGTTGAAGGAACTCCCTATCTCTACTAACACGTCCCCTTCTGATGCAAGAGCTTACCTTCTCAAGGAGTTTGCTGACGTGTTGGTTACGAAGAAATCTTTGGGATCCACACCACTCAAGCCGATGGTGGGTCCACCTATGAAGATTCATCTTAAGGATGGTGCCACACCTTTTGCCATCCACACCCCTCGTTTGATTCCTCACGCCTACAAGGAGCTAGTTAGACAAGAGCTTGACTCCATGGTTGCTCAGGGAATCATCAAGCCGGCCGGAGACGAACCTTCACCTTGGTGCCACCCTCTCGTCCCCGTCGCCAAACCTCGTGGTGGAGTACGGATCACCACCGATCTGTCAAAACTTAACCAGCAAGTTTCCCGTCCAGCCCACCCTTCACCCACACCCTTCGCAGCTGTTCGAAATGTGGACCCGAAGGCGAAGTTTTTTACAACGATGGACGCCTTATGTGGTTATTGGCAGATCGAGTTGGCCGAAGAAGACCAGCATTTGACTACATTCATCACACCATATGGAAGATATCAGTATTGCAGAGGCCCCATGGGATTTGCCGCTACGGGCGATGCATTCTGTCAACGTGGTGACGCGGCCCTTCAAGGAGTCACGAATTGTGTCAAGGTGGTTGATGACATTTTACTCCATGACGAGGACTACTGTGCCCACCTCTCCCGAATATATGAAGTTCTCACCAGATGTCGAAAGTACGGGATTACCCTCAACGCTGACAAGTTTGTAGTCGCCGCACCATCAGTGAACTTCTGTGGGTACACTCTCTCAGCATCAGGTATCGCAGCTGACCCGGAGAAATTAAGTGGAATCAGGGATTTTCCAACCCCTGCCAACCTGACAGACCTCCGTTCTTTTTTGGGTCTGGTCAATCAGCTGGCTGAATTTTCACCTGACATCTCCGCCGCAGCCCAGCCATTACGCCCCCTGCTGAGCCCCAGGAGGACATTCCTGTGGACCCCAGATCATCAAGAGGCCTTCCAGCGAGTCAAGCAGGCCCTCTTAAGTCCACCTGTCCTCGCCTGTTACGACCCAGCCCTACCCACCGTCCTCCAGACTGACGCCTCCAGACTCTACGGCGTTGGTTACGCCCTTCTGCAGGACCATGGCGGTGGACAACTCCGCTTAATTCAGTGTGGATCCCGGTTCCTGACGGACGCCGAGACCCGATATGCCATGATTGAGCTGGAGATGTTGGCTGTTGTCTGGGCGATGGCGAAGTGCCGCTTCTACATGATAGGACTTCAGCACTTCACCCTCTTCACGGATCATCGCCCTCTTATACCTATTATCAATCACTACTCTTTGGATGCAGTAGAGAATCCTCGCCTTCAACGTTTGAAAGAGAAGCTCTCGCCTTATCTCTTCACGGCTGTGTGGCGTGCCGGTAAGCTGCTGTGCATCCCAGATGCCCTGTCCCGCGCCCCTGTCAGTCGCCCCACCCCAGAGGACGAGATGTTGTGTTCTACAGCTGCTGCATCCCTCAAGTCAGTAGTCTCATTGAAGGCCGTCTTCACATCAGAAGAGTCTACAGCACCGGATGCAGACAAGACCCTTGAAGATCTCCGCACCGCAGCCCGGGCCGACCCTTCCTACATCCGGCTCGTCGACTGTGTGTCCCAGGGATTTCCATCTAACCGATACGACCTTCATGAATCGCTACTCCCGTACTGGAAGATACGCGAGGACCTCTATTGTGACGGAGACCTCGTCTTGTATGGTCCACGAGTAGTCATTCCTGCTGCCCTACGCCGCCGTACCTTGACCCGCCTTCACGACAGCCATCGAGGAGTGGAGGCCACCAAGCGACGGGCGAAGCAGACTGTATTTTGGCCCGGAATCGACTCGGACATTGCAAGTACCGTCCGTGCCTGTGAGCCGTGCCAAACTCTGCAACCCAGCCAGCAACAGGAACCTTTAATGTGCGACGATAACCCTTCAAGACCCTTCGAGTCTGTGTCGGCCGACTTCTTTGCAGTGGCAGGGAAGTCCTTCCTCGTCATTGCCGACCGATTGTCTGGATGGCCTGTTGTCGTCCCCTGTGGTAGTGATACAACGGCTAATGCTACCATCCGGAATTTCAGACATTACTTCAGAGAAGTTGGTGTTCCCCTCCGCCTCAGGACTGATGGAGGACCCCAGTTCACCAGCCACGAGTTCCAGACTTCATGGACCGTTGGGGAGTCCGTCATGTCGTGACCTCGCCCCACTA